TTTCTTCTAAAGAAGGAATCAGATCAAATATATTTATTTGTGATACTTTTAAATTATTTTTAAGAATTTGATTGTTAACAAAATATTTATCAAAGAATTTCAAATATTTTACTTGCTTTAAAGCCAAGAGTTTAAAATATGTCCAAAAAAATTTTCTTTGAAAAATCAGTGATTGTTCCTTCATCTTCAAAAAATATGTAAGAAAAAATTTATTATTTTTTCTAAATGAGAGCACAAACACCGAAATCATTTTCTAAAAGTTGTAATTTAATTCTCAAACTAATTGGAAAAACAAATCCCTTCTTATCCAAACCAAAGACACTTCTCTCACCTTTATTAATTAAATTCATTTATTATATTATATAAAAAAACAGTGTAAAATTAAATAAAATGTTTAAAACTTTTCTTAAAAAATTTAAAAACCAAAATGTATTTCTAAATCTTTTATTAAAATTTGATTTATTAAAAAATACAAATTTTTAACATAATTTAGATCTAAAAAATCAGAACTAGTTGATAAGTATGTATGTATGTACTATGTAGAAAGTAATAAATGCAAATTTAATTCTAAAAATAATACCTAAATTAATAATATCCATAGATTATTCAGAGATAAATGACTAAATCATTAAATTATGATGCTTTTTGAGCAGATTTGGTATTAAAGTGTTTAGTTGTTTTCCTTGAATAAATTCAGAATTGAATCCAAACGTTTTTTCAAATCTTTTAGATGTTTTTTTAACAATAAACTCTTTTTCTATTAGTGACATATATAATAAGCATGATTTTTCTGCTTTTTAATAGATTTAGTTCTATCTTTTTTATTAACTATTCTTCTCTTAAGATATATCAAAAGCATCTTCTTGGAATTATTTGATTTTTCTATTCTAGAAATCCAAAATTTGTGTAAAAATACATGCAAGATATTAAAGATCAAAGTCTTGGGCATTTATTTAAAATAACTCTATAAAATTTTATTCTAAATCTTCATTTAAAATAATTAAGGGAATAGATATATTCTAGACTTAATATAAATCAATAAAGTGTCCACTTAAGAAATCATAGAATTGACCAACTTAAAGCAGGGCTCTTCTTAATTTTCCATTGCAAACATTTATTTTATCATCAAATACAATGACTTCGATCATTTTTAGCTTTTAATTTTCTATATTTGAGTCAAATAACTTTATTTAGTAATCATTCAAAATTTAAAGCTTTAGTTGCTAAAAGTAAAATAGTTAAATCAAACTAATTTGATTCATTTCATTTAGATAAATATTTGCAATTTATTGAAGATTTACAAGAACCTTAGTGGGATCGTTAATTACTTGATAAAGATAGTTCAAATAAGATAATTATAATTTCTAAATGCTTTCTTTTTAGTCGCTTTTTTGTTTGCTTTGGATATAAGCTTCAAATAATTGTAAAATAACTCTGTAAGCATAATCTTATCTTGTATTATTTTACTAAAATTCTTCTATATTTTAAGAATTACTTTTCTCCTATTTAATAAGTTATTTAAAAACTAATAAATTAAAAATGTTAAAAATTTGGTAAGTAATTAATTATTAAAAAGCAGATTGAATGAATATTTTTTAATGAAATTTATTCTTTATGCAATTTTAATCAAAAGAAAGAAGTCTTCTTGTAATTTTAATAAAAAAAATCTTCTTTAAAATTAAAATGTAAATAGATAAATATCTAAAGACTATTTTTATCATTTCAGAAAAATTAATAAAAGAAAATATATTACAATAGATTTTTTATATTTATAGCAAAAACAAGATTGATCTTCATAATTACATCTTGCTTCATGAATTTATATGATTGCTTCATAGTTGATTTCTTGTTTTCTATTTAATTAGTTTTCTTAGCTTGAAATTGATTAATCAATTAATATTTTTATGATTTTTAAGAAATTGGAATTATTGCATCCCAAAAGCTCTCTCTCACTTGTAAATTAAAAGAATAAACTTTAATTAAAATGATCTTTGTACTTTATTATTATTTGAATTGTTAAAGGGACAGTGATTATGCAAGCAAAAATTACATCTGTATTTGGAAAGACGTATATTTCCATCAAAATACAAAGAGAGATTTATAGTGAAGAAGCGCATAAATAGCAGTAAATTTTGTTGATATATTTAGATAAGTAATAGTCTTCGACTAATAAAAAAGTAACCTCAAAGAAAAAGTAAATAAAAGAGAAAACAGCTACAAAGTTGTGCGCTTAAAATTAGTATAAAAATATTAAAATTGTTCTCAAAAGCTTTAAAAATAATTTGTATCGACTTTATTATTTAGCCAGATAGTATTGCGACTCTATAAATGAGTAGCTGAAATCATGAATCTCCAGAAAATATCCTATAAATTGAAAAAGGGTTTGTTTAATTCAAAAAAACTATAGATTAATTAAAAAAGTAAAATACAAATTAGGAATGCGATTAAGACTATCTATAACAAATATTAGATTTTATCATAGTCTGATAATTTATTTAATTTTGTGGATATAAATTAAATTTCATTTAAAAAGCCAAAGTAACAAAAAATATTAAATTTTTTTATTTATTTACCTATTACTAGAGTAAAGGCAGCATTTAAATATGATATGATTACAATATAAGTTGAATATGTTTAGCTTTTCTATGATATTATATTTAATGAGATGTTAAGAAAAACATAAAAAGACCATTTGTTGTAGAATGTGGTGTAAAATAGGAAATATGCCTCTAAGTATTTTTTTATTTTAAATTTCCTAATAACTTAATCAAATATTATATTTAGGATATACGATACATTTAAGACAAACGAAACAATAACCAATGAAACTTCATAGCAGTGCAATTATGGAGTAAAGTAATCATTAAGCAAAGGAATAACTTATAGATATTGGATAAAGTTGGACACATCGTAGACTCTTTTTTATTATATTGCCTGCGTTTTTTGTGATGAATCTATTCTATCGTCTTTGTATACAAACGAAAGCAAAGTAAGACTATTTATTATAACTATTAGAATTGACACATTTTTGCTCAGATTTACAGGATAAATCATCTTAGCCATGTCATTAATATAAAATTATTTTATATGTTGGAAACAACTAAAGCTTGAATTTGTTAAGGAATCGCTTTTGAAAGCTTGCTTAAACTTTCTACTTCTCATTTGACTATTTATGTGATGATTTAGTTGTATTTTCTTAATCTTTTTTTTCTATATCTTATTTTTCAAACAAGTATATCTATAAATTTTTGAAATCACCTTAATAAATGTTAACTCAGTTTTTAATAATTGAGAGTGATTAATTTATCTATATTTTTAAGAGAAGTTTTTGTTTTTACATTATTAATTAGATAAAGTAATTCCAATATATCTCGTAGAATAAATTTTATAATTTTCTTTTAACTTTCTTAAATTCCATGGATATTCAAATCAGGTATAATTTCAAGCTTCGTTGTTGTTTTGCGAAGTTGTTGTATTAGTTAAATAATATATCAAAATTTTGTCTATTTAGATTGATTTAATGGAAGGGACATGACGCAAAGTAAACAAAAACTGAAAGAAAGTATTAATAAATAAGTTTTATCAAAAATAATTCTAAAATGCTATTAATTGAGTAAATTAATTTATCACATGATTGAAATTTAATTAAAAATTAGCATTTTCAATATTTAAAAAACCAAAATATCCATCTGTATTTTTTCTAGACCTTAATTTACAAATAGTTTTTAGTATCTATTTTAAAGAAAAAAACTATATGTAAGTTATAACAAATAAACAAATTAAAATACATACAAAAATTTAATTTAATTTCTAAAGTTCTTTTGTTTGTATTTAAAATCTGTCTCTTTACATATCTTAATTACATTATTTAAATGTAACAAAATTTATAGATACATAAATAAATAAATACATTTACAATACTGATCAACCTAATATTCAGTTTTGCTATATAAAATATGGTTCACCTTATATTTTCGAATATGATGTAGAGGAGTATTAATAATCATAAATATACACCCAAGATAATTTAATTTATTGGTAAAATCGAATATTAATTCTTTGTTTTCTTTATTGAATGAAACAAATAAATAAATAACTTTTATTTGATTAAAAAATTAATGAATGGATGTATGATGTTTCTCCATCCCTAATTTAAATATTTATAAGAATAAATATTTCTTAAACCACCCATAATGAAAATAGGCAAAAACTTAAAAAAATATATATTATATTCACACTCTTTATATATAATATATTGTAAAAATTAATAATAGGAAAATTTTTATTTTTTATTTAGTTTTTATAAATATAATATTAAAAATAATTTTAAATTTAAAGCTTGATATATATTTTTCTTACTTAAAAGTATCCTAATATATATTTATAATATTCATTTCTCGATTTGTATTTGTTTAAAATATTGCTAGATTAATTAATTTTCATAGAGAAGATTTATGTGGAACAATTTGAAAATTTTTATTACATTTTCAAGTTAGTCTTTAAACCAGTAAAAGAGGTATACCCATCCTACTAAAAACACTATGCAAAAAATTATTAATTGAGTAACAAAGAAGTACAGCAAATTTTATTTCACTTAGTTTTCATATTATTGTAGCTAATCATTCTAATACTATCTAATTCCATTAACCACTTCTGAAATTATCTGAATCAGCTATTTAAATTCAATTAATGAATGTTAACTATCAAATTAAATCAATAAGTTGATAACTTAATAGATATCTTAATATGAATATATCTGGTACAATTCTTAAAATGTTTAAAACAACTTTTAAACTGAAAATATTAATCCTCTTTATAATATTCCATTAAATATATTGTTGCAATTGGTTTCGGTTATATTAGAGTTAAAATATTAAGAGTAATTTTATCTCACTTGGCAAACATTTGAATTTAGCAGATTTTAATAAAAATCCACATTTTAACCTTAATTATTTCTTTTTATATCTAAATCAACAGTTAGTCCTTAAATATTTTAAAATGATTTTTGATTATTATTTTAGAGATCTTATAAGTAGGTTTGATAATAAGAAGTTGAAGGAGATATGCCTATTAAGATTAGATATATTTATTCCATATGAGCACAAAAGTTTTCAATAGTTAATGAATAAACATCGATCAAAGAAATTCTATCTTTCAAAGTGACTTTAGATTCAGTTTCAAAAGGATTAAATATAACAAAATTTAAAATAGGCATGACTAAAAGTAGCGCTACAGCAACTATCCCAAATAAAAATAAGACTAAGTTAAATTTTTTTATACTATTAAAAGATGCTATTTACCTGTTGCGTCTGTCTAACTATCTTTGAATATATCTAGAAACTTTATTGTTTAAACTCTTTTCCTATTTTTAAGCTTATTCACTTAGGAAATTTTAACTGAAGTTAAGATTTTTAATTTATTTTATTTGCTTTAACTAATTTTAAGCTTGTTTAAATGCATAATTATTATTAGTTTATTCTAAAGCATTGAATTATTCAATTTTGTATAGACCAAGTTCAATTTATTTGATTTAAAACTCAATAGAAGAAGGAGTAAATGTGCCAAAAAGTTTTAAAATCTTTTCCTTTTAGGATTAAATCAAAATATTTAGAGGCAAAATTGAAAAAATAAGCAAAGCATTTATGGTTGCAAACAAGATGATTGCAAATGTTTAATACAAATTCATGTTATTGAATTAGTCTTGAGCATAATTTTCAACAATTTGTTGTAAATTTTTCATTCCTTGTTTAAAGTTGTAGATGTTTCCCCAAATAAAATCTTCTTGCTATTCTTCATAATTGATATAATAAAATACAATTTCATAGAAAAACTCCATTAAGGTGTATTATAAACTTTATTCAAAAGTAGTTGTGGAATTTTATTAAAATCCATCACCTTTGTAAAACCCAGATGCGTAAATTTAAACTTAAAACAAATTTTTTTATAATTCATCAAGCTAATCTCCACTATCATTATTTAAAACAAGCTTTTGTAAGTTTAGATTATAATCTTATAATGTTCTTTACTGCTAAAAATCAGTCTAATTAATTTCGTACATTTAAAGCTCTAAGCTTTCTGCTATTAAAGATTAGCTATTTCTTAAAACGCTTTAATAGTTGCTAAGTCCGACAAGATTCATAACATCTATAAAGCAAAATATAGCACCATCAATTTTCAAAAAAGACTGGACAAATGAATCTAAGCTTTTTAAATTCTGAATGTAAATGATTAAAGATACAATACTGAGAATAGCAAAAGCTCCAGCTCCTGTGAAAGTTATTAATTACAATCCATTTGTAAATTTTGCTTTTTAAATTCTTTATATCATTTTCTTTTTCAATATCTCCTCAGTGCTATACTTACTAGAGTTGACACTAGCAATTTCGTTTTTTAACTCTTGTTTCATTTCTTCTTTTTCTTGTAAATATTTTTTTGTTTATTCTCTATTTAGATTTTACAGCTCTTAACTCAGACTTTATTCTTCTGAAAATGGCGAATCTATGTTATCTATTATAATTGGATTTTTATTTTAAATTACATTTGATTTATTTTTTATGGTAAATTTGTTAGATGCATTATTGGATGAAATTTTTTAGAAATTCTGATTTTTTAATTAGTTTTAAGCAGGTAAAAAAGCAATATCTTGTTACTCTTTTGATTATTTAATCAGAATCTGTTATCTTTCTTGACTTTGAATTGTTGGAGACAAAATTTCTTAGAGGCTTAGCGATTAAAAATTTTAAGTTGGCATAAATACAATATCTTGTTACTCGTTTGTTTAGTTTATCAGAACCTGTTGCCTTTCTTGACAAATAATTTTTGGAGATAAAATTATTTCTGGTTATTCAAATGTATTTGTTGATATCCTTCTTGAGTAATTTTAAAATAATGTTTCAATGCTCTATTTATCAAGAATTGCTTTTGAACTTAAACATTTTAATTCTGAGCTTCCACAATACGTTTTTGGAGATTAATTTTCAGGGTTTTTGAAGAAATTTATTTCTTGAAAAGTTTTTTAATTAAAACTATTATTTTAACTTTAAGGCTCACAGATTTCTACAAAATTTGGAGTTTAATCTATCTTATTTGTTATATTTTCTTCTAATGTTTGATATATTTAAAAGTTTATTAAATGATTTTTTTCATTTTCTTTGTTTTCGATTTGATTCTAGTCCTTATTTTCAAATAATTATGAGAATTCTCTTGTAGAAAAATACTATTACTAAATAGATTTCACATATCCTGAAGTTTATTAACTCTAGACTATTTTTTGATATCCTTGAGATTTTTTCAAAGAATATTATTTACTTAACTAATCTAAGATAATATCTTTTTTAATTTGGTCTGTTTCTTTTTGGTAATAGTCAATTTCTATTAAATTAATATTGACTTTCTACTTTGTGATGCGTCTTAAAAACCTGAATTTAATATGAAAAACTTCACTGCTTTATGAGAAAAGATTATTATTATTTTTAGGTGATTAAATAGGCTTTTCATGAGAATCTGATTTTGTACTTTTGAAAAGAGTTGGCTGTTTTACTACCATAGTAGTACTAACTTATATGTTTGACTACTGAGTCTTAACTATTTCTTCTATAGAAGGAATCAGATCAAATATATTTATTTATATTTCTTTTAAATTATTTTTAAGAACTTGTTTGTTATTTCATAAAGAGTTTATTTCAAATATTTTACCTGATTTAAAAGCAGGAGTTTAAAATATGTCTAAAAAAATGTTCTTTGAAAAATCAGTGATAATTCCTCCATCTTCAAAGAATATGTAAGAAAAAATTTATTATTTTTTCTAAATGAGAACACAAACACCGAAATCATTTTCTAAAAGTTGTAATTTAATTCTCAAACTAATTGGAAAAATAAATCCCTTATTATCCAAACCAAAAAGACTTCTCTCACCTTTATTATTTAAATTAATTTATTATATTAAAAAATAATGAAAAATTAAATAAAATGTTTAAAACTTTTTTAAAAAATCTTAAAACCTCTTTAAAAAACAGAGTTTTATAACAAATCTTTTAAATCTTTTTTTAAAATTTGATTTATTAAAATGTATAAAGTTATTAAATTTTTAACATAATTTTAGATCTAAAAAAATCAAAATTAGTAAATAAGTGTTCTGGAGAAATTAATAAATGTTAATAGAATTCTAAAAATAATACCTAAATTAATAATATCCATAGATTATTCAGAGATAAATGACTGAATCATTAAATTATGATGCTTTTTGAGTAGATTTGGTATTAAAGTGTTTAGTTGTTTTCCTTGAATAAATTCAGAATTGAACCCAAAAGTTTTTTCGAAACTTTTAGATGTTTTTTTAACAATAAACTCTTTTTCTATTAATGACATATATAATAGGCATGATTTTTCTCCTTTTTAATATATTTAGTTCTGTCTTTTTTATTAATTATTCTTCTACTAAGATATATCAAGAGCATCTTCTTGGAATTTTTTGATTTTTCTATTCTAGAAATCCAAAAGTTATGTAAAAATACATGCTAGATATTAAAGATCAAAGTCTTAGGCATTTATTTAAAATAACTCTATAAAATTTAATTCTAAATCTTCATTTAAAGTAATTAAAGGAAGAGACATATTCTATACTTAGTATAAATCAATAAAGTGCCCACTTAAAAAATCATAAAATTGACCAATTTAAAGCAGAGCTCTTCTTAATTTTGCATTACAGATATTTATTTTATCATCAAATACTATGACCTCCATGATTTTTAGCCTTTAATTCTCTATTTTGGAGTCAAATAATTTTATTTAGTAATCATTCAAAATATAAAGCTTTAATTACTAAAAGTAAAATAGTTAGATCAAACTCATTTAATTCTTTTCATTTAGAAAAATATTTGCAATTTATTAAAGATTTACAAGAACCCTAGTTGGATCATTAATCACTTCATAAAGATAGTTCAAATAAGATAATTATAATTTCTAAATGTTTTCTTTTTAGCTACTTTTTTGCTTGCTTTCGATATAAACTTCAAATAATTATAAAATAACTCTCTAAGCATAATCCTCTCTTGAATGATTTTATGAAAATTCTTCGATTTTTATTGGATTATTATTTTCCTATTTACAAAATAAATAAATTTAAAGTGTAAAAAATTAGATAGACAATTAATTAATTATTAAAAAGCAGATTGAATAAATGTTTTTTAATTAGCTTTAGTCTTTATTCAACTTTAATGAAAGTAAGTCTTTTTGCAATTTTAATAAAAAAATTTTTATGTAATTTTAATCAATAAAGTCTTCTTTAATATTAAAATGTAAATAAATATTTAAAGAATTATTTTATCATTTCAAAAAATTCATAAAAGAGAATATATTACATGAATTTTCTTATATTTATAGCAAAAACAAGATTGATCTTCATATTCACATCTTGCTTCATGAATTTATATGATTGCTTCATAGTTGATTTCTAGTTTTCTATTTAATTAGTTTTCTTAGCTTGAAATTGATTAATCAATGAATATTTTTATGATTTTTAAGAATTTGGAATTATTGCATCTCAAAAGCTCTCTCTCACTAGTAAATTAAATGAAGAAACTTTTATCATAATATTCTTTGTATTTTACTATTATTTGAATTGTTAAAGGGACTGTGATTATGCAAGCAAAAATTACATCCGTATTTGGAAAAATGTATATTTCAATCAAAATACAAAGAGAAATTTGTAGTGAAGAAGCGCATAAATAGCAGTAAATTTTGTTGATATATTTAGATAAGTAATGATCTTCGAATAATAAAAAAGTAACCTCAATGAAAAAATAAACAAAAGAGAAAACAGCTAGTAAGCTGTGCACTTAAAATTAATATAAAAATATTAAAATTGTTCTCAAAAGCATTAAAAATAATTTGTATTGATTTGATTATTTCGCCAGATAGTTTTGTGACTCTATAAATGAGTAGCTGAAGTCATGAATCTCCAGAAAATATCCTAATAAATTGAAAAAGGGTTTGTTTATTATAATAAAACTCTAAATTAATTTAAAAAATGTAAAATATAAATTATGAATGTTATTTTTTAAGATAGTGAATATCAGGTTTTATCAAATCTGATTATCTATTTTTATGGTAAAAAAAAAGTTCATTTAAAAAATCAAAGTTATTTATTTACCTATGAGTAGAGTGAAGGAGGCATTTAAATATGATATGATCACAACAAAAGTTGAAAATGTTTAGTTTTTTTAGGAAATAATATTTAATGAGATGTTAAGAAACACATAAAAAGACCATTTGTTGTAGATTGTGGTGTAAAATAGGAAATAAGTCTCTAAGTATTTTTTTATTTTAAATTTCCTAATGGCTTTATCAAAAATAATATTTAGGATATATGATATATTTAAGACAAAGGAAAAAACAGTCAATGAAACTTCATAAGAGTGCAACTATGGAGTAAAATACTCTTTAAGCAAAGGAATAACTTAGAGATATTTGATAAAGTTGGACACATCATAGACTCTTTTTTATTATATTTCCTGCGTTTACTGTGATGAATCCATTCTCTCATTTTTATATATAAACGAAAGCAGAGTAAGACTATTTATTATAACAATTAAAATTGACACATTTCTGCTAAGATTTAAAGGATGAATCAGCTTAACCATGTCATTAATATAAAATTATTTTATACTCCTAAAGCAACTAAAACTTTAATTTTTAAAAGAATCACTTTAGAAAGTTTGCTTAAACTTCTTACTTCTCATTTTACTTGTTTATTTATATGATGATTTATTTGTATTTTTTGAATATTTTTTTCTTTAATCTTATTTTTCAAATAAATATATCTATCAATTTTTGAAATCACCTTTATAAATGTTAAGCTAATAATGCAGAGTGAATAATTATCTATAACTTTAAAGATAAGTTTTTCAATTATTAAATTAGATTAAGTAACTCCAATGTACTTTTGGAATAAAATTTATGATTTTCTTTTGACTTTTTTAAGTTCCATGTTTATTCAAATCAGAAATAATTCAAGCTTACTTTTTGGTCAGCATACTAAGTTACTGAACTAGTTAAATTATATTTAGAATTTTTTTTTGATTGTTTGATTGATTTAATGGAAGGAAAATGTCTAAATGTAAACAAAAATAGTTAAGTTTTATCAAAATAATTCTTATATGCTTTAAGTTGAGTAAACCAACTTGATACATGGAGATTTAATTAAGAATTAGTGTTTTCAATATATACCAAATCAAAATATCTATCTATATATTTTATAGACCTTAATTTGTATACAGTAAACAGTATCAATATTAAAGAAAAAAACTATTTGTAAGTTATTATAAATTTACCAATAAAAACACATGCGAACATTTTAATTAATATCAAAAGTTGATTTATTTGTATTTAAAATCTGTCTGTTTATATATCTAAGCTATTAAATGTAACAAAATTAATAGATAAATAAATACCATATAATAAAAATCAAATGTCTTAGAATATTATTCAAAAGAATACACAATTTAGAAAAATAGAAGAAAAAAATTCTGAAAAAAATATTTGTTTTATATATGAAAATATACTTTTTTATATTTGGTTTATTTTTATTGTTAATAATAGTGAGATATAATAATTTAAAAAAAAAACTATTTTTAAAAATATCTCATTTTTTTATTGAATATTTTTTCATTTTTTCATTTTTTGTATTTTTGACAATTTAAAAATTTTGACATATTATATATTATGGATAAAAATGTGGAAATGTAACAAAATGTATTGCTTTTGAATATTTTGAGGATATGGAATATTACAAATAAAACGTGTAAAAATGATAAAATGGTTGATTATAAAAATGAGTTAGTGTTCTAAATATCCTTTATTTTCTGTCTAAGTTGATTTCAGTAAAAATAAAAAAACTCTATATATATTTTAATAATACACAAAGAAATCGGTTTGAATGTAGTTACTAACATTAAATAACAATAATATTAATCATTTTAATTATTTGTTTTATTCAAAATTAAATTATGACATTAAATCATTTTGATTTTTCCGAAAATGGAATTAAATAATAAAAAATATACTTATTATACAATTTCTATATTCATCTTTTTTATTTATTGTTAATAAATTCAATCTATGTTTAATTTAACTAATCTTTTTATTTTTTAAGCTAACCTTTTGATTTCTGTTTTTCTTTTTTCAAGCAAATCTCTTTTAATAAATATAAATTTATTTTTTAGATAGATACTAAAAGTATTTAATTTTAAACAAAATTAAGTAAATACTTTATTGGTAGATTCAATAATTTTATATTTTTACAATTGATCACTTCACTAGATTTTAGAAACTTCTCAATATCACTTATAAAATAAAAATATTTTAAATAAAATCTTAAAAACTTTTATATAATTTTTTTTCAAAAATAATTAATGAAATTTACTCTGATCTAAAATCTAGATTTATAAGTTAAGCGCAGCTACTCAAACATAATCCAATATTTTAAGCTCCTTTATCACCGATTTTATTTCCCCTTTTCAAAAAAAAAAACAATTTATAAACTACTTAAATTTGTTTTGACATTTAAATCAAAATTTGTAGAATAATTCAAACTTTTTTAAGTAATGAAAATAAATAATTAATTCATTTTACCTAATATCAAAACAGAGATTAGTAAGTAATTTGCAGTTACCAAGAGCTGCACCAATAGCAGTAGTTCCATCATCCCCAATTTAATTTAAGCTTTAATAAATGAAAATCACATTAAATTAAAGCTTGAAGACATTTTATAAATTTAAAGTTTTTTTAATTCAGTTTGAATAAAAAACTTTACCATAATTTTTTTAAAAGTATTAATGAATATATTTACCTTATCCCAAATTATAAATTTGTAAGTTGAGTACAGTTACTCAAACCTAATCCAATATTTTAAGCTCCTTTATCACCGATTTAATTTCTCCTTTTCAAACAAAAAAAATCAATTTATAAACTACTTAAATTTGTTTTGACATTTAAATCAAAATTTGTAGAATAATTCAAACTTTTTTAAGTAATGAAAATAAATATAAAATTATTTTACCAAATTTAAAAATTGAGATTAGTAAGTAATTTGCAGTTACCAAGAGCTGCACCAATAGTAGTAGCTCCATCATCCCCAATTTAATTTTCGCTTTAATAAATGAAAATCACATTAAATTAAAGCTTTAAGACATTTTATAAATTTAAAGTTTTTTTAATTCAGTTTGAATAAAAAACTTTACCATAATTTTTTTAAAAGTATTAATGAATATATTTACCTTATCGCAAATACTAAATTTGTAAGTTGAGTACAGTTACTTAAACCTAATCCAATATTTTAAGCTCCTTTATCACCGATTTTATTTCCCCTTTTCAAACAAAAAAAATCAATTTATAAACTACTTAAATTTGTTTTGATATTTAAATCAAAATTTGTAGAATAATTCAAAGTTTTTTAAGTAATGAAAATAAATAATTAAATCATTTTACCCAATATTAAAACAGAGATTAGAAAGTAATTTGCAGTTACCAAGAGCTGCACCAATAGTAGTAGCTCCATCATCCCCAATTTAATTTTAGCTTTAATAAATGAAAATCACATTAAATTAAAGCTTGAAGACATTTTATAAATTTAAAGTTTTTTTAATTCAGTTTGAATAAAAAACTTTACCATAATTTTTTTAAAAGTATTAATGAAAATATTTACCTTATCCCAAATTCTAAATTTGTAAGTTGAGTACAGTTACTCAAACCTAATCCAATATTTTAAGCTCCTTTATCACCGATTTTATTTTTCCTTTTCAAACAAAAAAAATCAATTTATAAACTACTTAAATTTGTTTTGATATTTAAATCAAAATTTGTAGAATAATTCAAACTTTTTTAAGTAATGAAAATAAATATATAATAATTTTACCAAAATTCAAAATAGAGATTAGTAAGTAATTTGCAGTTACCAAGAGCTGCACCAATAGTAGAAGCTCCATCATCCCCAATTTAATTTTTGCTTTAATAAATGCAAATAATGTTTAATTAAAAATTTAATGTTTTTTATTCAATTTAAATAAAAAGCTTTGACATAATTTTTTTAAAAGTTGTAAAAGGAATAAATTTACCTTATATTAAAATATAAATTTGTAAGTTGAGTGCAACTACTCATACCTAATCCAATATTTTATGCTCCATTATCTCCAATTTAATTTTGACTTTTCAAATATAAAATAAATAATTTAATTAATTATTTAAATTTTTTTTAGAATTTAATTAATTCAATATAAAAAATAATTTAAACTTGATTAATAAACATAAAAATAATTTTACTAAATATAAAACTAGAGATTAGCTAGGAATTTACACTCACTAATAGCCCTACCAATAGCAGAAGCTCCATCTTATCCAATTTAATTTAATCTTTTATTATTAAAAATAATAAATACATAAATAAATATCTTAAAATAAAAAACAACTAATAAAAAAAAAGATATTTTTTTACTCCATTCCAATATCTAAATTCTTAAGTTGATTGCATTAACTTAAGCCTAACCCAATGTTTAATGCTCCTTTATCACCTATTTTATTTTCCCTTTTCAAACAAAATAAATCAAATTATTAATTATTTTAAATTAATTTCAAAAATAAAAATTTAATTAATTTTATTTAGATTATAAAAATTGTAAAATCAAAATTACCTCAGACAAAATTTTAAATTAATAAGAAACTGTAAGTTACTTAAAGCTCTTCCAAAATTATATGCTCCTCCATCCCCAATGTTATTGTTACTTTTATTATACAAAATCATATACTAATAAATAAATTTATCATCCTTAAATTGATTAATTTAAAACATTTTTAATTTTACTAAAAATATAAAAAATTTTAAAATCTTTTTAAAGTTTCAAAAAATGAAAAATCAAAATTACCAAAGCATAAATTTTAGATTCGTAAGTAATTTACAGCTACCTAGAACTATACAAATAGCAGATGCTCCTACTTCTCCAATTTAATTGTTACTAATAAAAAATAAAATAGGATAAAAATAAAGAATTGATGACAACTTAAAAAATGTTTAAGAATTAAATAGATTAAAACATTTATTAATTTTTTTACAATTAAATTAAATTTATCCTTAAAGAAAAATTAAAATTAATTACGAGAGGTTAATATCTAGATAAGTTAACATTTTACAGCTACTTAACATAGTACTTATAGAAAATGCACCTTCTTTTCCAAATAAATTTGCACTTTTTATGTTAGTAAAATTAGATATTAAATATATTAAAAAATAATTTTTAATTTATAAGCAATAATCAATAAAATTTACACTGCATTTAAAGTTAAAGTTGTTAGTTTAGCACAACTACTAATACCTTCTGCAATACTCAAAATCCCTCTGTCGCCCATTTTATTTTTCCTTCAAAAAAAATATTTTTAATAAATAATTTTTTGATTTTTAAAAGATATAATAAAAAAAACTGAATATGTTAAATATAATTAAAATAAAATTACCAAAGTTGCAGATTTAAGTTAGTAAGCGTTTTGCATCTACATAATATTTTGAAAATCCAAACTGCACCTTCATCTCCAATTTAATTTCCACTTTTATTATTAAATATTATTTAAAATAATTTAGTATATATAGATAGATAATTAAAAATTATAATGAGTTTTGAAAGATGAATTTAATTATTTTAAAAAATAAATAAATAAATTAAAAAAAGTTTACTCTAAATTTAGCTGTAAACTGTTGAGTTTAATTAGATTGCCCATAGTTTTTTCTAATAGAATATTTCCTTAAGCTTAAATTTCATTTTATCTTTCAAATTAAAAATAAATCAATGAAATACTAATAGTTAGTTCTATTTTACACAAGTTCTTCACAAGCACTAGATCCTAAGTCAAACATATTTTTGAAAAACTAAATTTGGGCATATATTTAATCATTGCTATTTACAAAAGGATATAAATTAATATTTTGTTTCACACAATTTAAAAAGCAATTTATTAAATAATTTGTTGGTTAACTTAAAGATTTATTAACACAAAAAATATAATTACCTCACATTATTACCAGTTTCAACATAATTCTCTAAGATGGGATATTCAGCAAATAATTACTTTATTTTATCATCTGAAATATTTTCCTTACTAGGTGTTAGATTGATAGCAAAAAGTAATTAATTAATTAATCAATTATAATATTTAAGATAATAAATTTAAATTATTACTTGAGATTTAATACTAAAGATTCTAATTTTTAACATTATACTAAAGTGTTGTTAAGTTAAGCAACTTATTGATTACTAAGAATACAATTTCTATTTATTTTATTAATAATAATAAAGAATTTAATCTAAGAATAAATTATGAATGAATGAATCAAATAGATTAAATTTTATTTATTCTTAATTTTGTAATAAAAAAGAGAAAAAATTAAAAAATTTTATTTATAAAAAATTTATGATTAAATATGAATTAATGAATAAATATTTATATTTATATATTTCATACTTTAACTGTAAGTCAATATGAGTTAGAGCTTTCAAGTTAGATTTCATTAACTGTTTATTTAAAAAAAAGATTTTATAATAATAAATAAAATTAATAATGATGGATACATCTTCTAGAATATTTTAAGAGTTATTCTATTACTCCATTTTTTTTTATTTATTTCCCTTTTTATTTCTTTGATTTTTAATAAATTAATTAATTATGATCAGAAATTAATAATTTTGTTGAATTAAAAAAAATTATTGATTTTCTTTTTTAATTATTCTTATTTAATTTGTACCATTCTAAAAATATATATTAATAAATCAGTTTCCTTTTTTATTCTCCTTTCATTAAGATATAAATATTAAATACTGTAATTTAAGCCTGTATAAATTATAATTTTCTATATTTTGAGTCTTAGTTAAAACATTTCTAAAAACTAAAAAATATCTTAATGAATAGGATGGCCATATTTATCTCAAACTATTTTATGGTGTTTATAAAATAAGTGCGTACAAAAATAAAATTCGAAAAAGCAAGAACATGATCTAAGTAAGAAATTTATTTTCATATGAAGATATTTATTAATAAAATGCTAAAAATGTTTAATTGTAACAAAAAGTGTTGTGAGAAAAATTTAATGAATACATGATCAAGCAAGCAAGAAAATACAAAAGAGTTTTTTCAATTATTAAATTTATATTTTTGTAAGAAAAATGTTCATAAATTTCTTAATTAATTAGAAAAATTTATGATTACACAAATATCTACCTTGAGTTATGTAAATAAATTAAAAAACCAATTGATTCTGACACATAATAATTAATTACTATAGAAGAAAACAAATAAATCACTTGCTGTAATGATTAAAAGAGTAAGATTGAGTAATATCAGATAAATTAGCGATTGCACATTTATTAATGACTTATAAATTATTTAATGATTGGCTTTTAGTTTATATTCAAAATTAATAATTATTAGTAACTTAAAACAATATTTTGTCAAATAAGCATTTTATAAATGTTAACGGAATAAATATTTGACAAGAATTATTATTCTTTTAAAGACTAAAAAGACTAAAATAATGTAGACCGCAATCTGAACCTTGCAAAGCAGACTTCAATAAGAGTAGAAAACCCAATTTATGAATTATATTTCCCTGGGTCATAAAATTATCCCTTAGTATAGAAACCTACAATATCATCAATGGAAACTATGGATAGTCAAGATGTCAGTCCTGTAGAATTGATAAAAATTACTCCTCAAGTTCAAAGAAAACGCTATAAAAGCTTGATTTAGCATGACTTCTAATAATTTCTAGATAATTTAAAAAGCGTTGAGAGCAGAACCCACTAGAAGCCATATGAAAGTTAAGAAATATCTAATAAATGTTTGACTGTTAAAACAGAAAGCTCAAAAAGTTATATAATCATTAATAAATTAAAAAAGAATCCAATTATAGAATAAGACGATGAAGAAGAAGAATATTCAATTTGGGATAACTCGCCGCTAGAGGATTAAGGATATGATTGTTAGGCTTTTTTGAATAAAGAAGGCAAGGAGTTGACTTTCTATTAACTATATAGATTGAGGTAATGCTAATTGTTTGCAAATATTTCGTAGTAAATAACTATGGATTATGTATATGTGATCGCGAACCATTACAATCACCCAATTTAAAGACAGGAGCTATCTAAATAATAATAATACTTAGATGATAACTATAAATCATATTTTTAAGCTATTATTCCTGTCAGTCATACTAAAAGCCCAAACAAACATAATAGTAATTAATTTAATCAATTAGATAACTACAAGAAACAGCATTAGCTTAATTCTATATAAAATAATTAATCAATTGAATAGATTAAAAAATAAATTAGATAATAAACCCCATAACAAACTTCATACTCTTCTTTTCAAGCGAAAACAATTCCTTTACTCACCTATTATACACCTAAATAAATTTAACATCCAGTTTCAGGAATGTAATAAACTCCTTTAAAAACTCAATAAACTATTACAAATTCAAAATTTATTGCTTCCTAAGCTTAATACACTCCTAAAAATACTTTAGATAAGAAAAAATAATTTTTGTTGAAGGATTAGTAATCATAACAATCAAAATCTAATAATTCTATCAGCAGTATTTTAAATTAAAGTTAATAAAGCAATTCGAGCAAATAATAGTTTTCTTCATTATCAGCGATCAACAAAGAAAATATTAATCATCAGTCTAATTAGTCTAAATCTTCTCTTAGAGTATTTAATACAAATTTAAGTAATGATTTTAGTTTTTCTAGGCTTCCTCCAACTGAAAGAAATACTCCAAATAAAAAAGTGAAGGCTGCTTTAAGTTAAAGCTAATAAAATTATTTAAATAAATTAATACTTTCATCTAAATCATAAAGTAAATAAAATAAAAGCTATTTCAGAAATTCGTTAAGAATGTTAAATAAAAAACCTTTAAGTTCTAAAAATTCTTCCACAGAAAGAAATACTCCAAGAGATTTAATCGAAGGAGCTATTAAGTAAATAAAATAGTAAAATATTTTACGTTCTTCTAAATCTTTTAACAATATCAAAAATAGTCAGTAAAACTCATTTAGAGATAAAAAAATATCAAATATTAACTAAAATAACACTAATCTGTTTATTTCTTCTCATTCATTAACAGATAAGGAAACACCTAGAAAAATAATAAAAGTTGCCTAAATAAATTTATTTAACAAATCTGAAAACTAGCCTTAATAACAACAATTAAATTCATAAAACATGCTTTAAATTCAAAACATATTGAAATAATAAAAAGAATAACAATCAAAGATAGATAAAAATATATAAAAGATTAATTAAAACAATCCTGAATAAAACGAAGTTAAATCCTAACAACTTTCAAAGAAAATTTCTAATTTAGTTATTTTCAAGGTAAAAAATAAATTTACTAATTTATAATAAAAAAGCTAAATAGTAACAACAACAAATAATTAATTAAATGTTTAGGAAGCTTCTAAAAAGATAGAAAATATAAATTTTTACTGCAATGTAAGTTAATTTAACATTTGATTAGCAAAAATAAACATTAAAAATAAAAAATTTAACTACCTACTCACTAACTAAATAAATTTATATATATTTTAATATAATTAATAGTTCTACTAATATTAAACCATTTTTTTAATAAAATTTTTTTCTCTAAATCAACCATATACCAAGAGTAATATATGTTAATAACTAATTAATTTTAGATATTATAATTTAATTAATATTTATTAATTTAAAGACTAAATATCTTTAATTATTTAATACAATATTTAAAATTATATTTTACAAAAATAAAATATCAATAAAAAAGGACCAATTTAAGACAAAAAAAAATTTTATTTCTTTATTTAAAACAAAGATTATATCCTTTCTTTCAAAATCTTTAAGCTCTGTAAAAATAGGCCTCCTATAATACTGTAATTACATTATTAATTATATTACTTGATATTATTTGTGAAATATTTTATATTAATAGTAAGCTGAAATTCATAAATATTTAAATTATTTTATTTTTAGAATGGAAGAAATTGTTTAAATTATCTTTTATTAAATTAATGATAATAAATACATATAATAATAATTATTATGGTATTAAGATTTTTAATTTGCTTTTATTGATTGAAAATAATTTATTAATAACTTACAAAAAACAAATTCAAAATTACTATTATAGGATAATAGAATTATCTGTGTCTTCTAAAAGTTACCTGAAATTTGATATTACTTTTCTTTCTTATAAAAATTCAAATCAAAAGATGATTATTTTATAGTGTGTTTTATAAATTACTTACAATTAATATAACCTTTCATTAGCATAGATATATCAAAAGATTGATATATAGTCTTTATCAGAATCTATTTAAAATTCATATTTACATCAAGAATTCATTAAGTTTTCATAATTAATTTATTCTAAAATCTTAAATTTTTATCGTGAAATTAATATTTACTTTAATTTTTTACAGAATGTTAATCCAAAAGTATAAATAGATTTGGTTGGTTTGGTTGATTAAAAATAATGATAATAATTAATCAATCAATAAATATAAAAGAAAGAAAAGAAAATGTCTCTTCTTATAACCATTATTTGCATCATTCTATTATTGCTAACATGCATTGCTTTTAAAATAGTTGTCTATCCTTAGATTCAAATATTTTATTTTAAGAATAAATATGGTAAGGATGTTGAAGTTCTCTACCATTTTGGATCTGGACTCTTGTAGGAATTTAAATAGAGTTTAGAAAAAGAAGGAGATAGTTTTGGAAGAATTCGCAAAATAATGTAAATAAATCCAGACGCCTAGGCTATCATTCATAATAACGCTTCAGGCAAGATGGCATATTCTTTTATAGACCCAGATCTTATTAAATAAGTGCATTAACAACCAGAATATTTTGAAAAATAAATTGCTCACCCTGCAATAATATCATTGTTTTCAAAATCGATTCTTTATTTATCGGGTAAAAAATGGTAAAAGCAAAGGTAATTCTTTGGAAAATCCTTCCATTTTGATGAGATTAGAAACTATTTGCCTGTAATAAAATAAACATCATAAGATGTTTTCAGTTCAATTAAACAAAGTCTAAATAATTCACTTTAACAAGAAGTTTAAGTTGTTAAAACTTGTGAAAAAGTGACTTCTGAGGTTGTTGTTAAGGTCTTCTTTGGCTCAACATCTCAAAATATAATAGTTACAAGATCTGATGGAACTAAATTACCTGTAGCACAAGAACTAATAGAAATTATGGTTGACTCCTTTAGGGTATTCAGAAATAGTAAATTTGCTTTTGTAAAGTTTCTACTTTTAAGACAAAGAAGTTTTTAAATTCTACCAACTTAGTCTGAAAAGGATTTAGCTTAAAGAATTCATAATGCGAGAGAAGAGTGTAACTAAATAATTTAAGATAGAAAGTAATAGCTGTTGAATGATCCAACATAATTTAAGAGTAACTTTTTAGATATGTATTTGAAAGAGATCATCATCAATAAAAATGAAGATATTAAAGAAGAGTATATTATTGATAATTTCTTAGCTTTGCTTTTCGCTGGGACTGATACCACTGGAAATATGACAGGTGCAGCTTTTTATTACTTATCATTGAATACAGATATTTAAAGTAGAGCTAGAGAAGAAATAATTTCTATTCTTAATCGTAAAGGTTAGTAAAATAATACTGAAGAACTTTACAACTCAATGACTTTTGAAGATATTGCAAATTTAAATCTGATCAACTCAATATTGAAAGAATCTCTGAGGTTAATACCTCCAGCTGCAGCAGTTTTTCCAAGAAGAGTGATAAAAGATATCAAAATAGGAAACTTTCAACTTAAAAAAGGGGATGCTATTAACACTTAATTTATTTGCAACCACTATAATCCTTAGATTTACAAAAATCCAGATATTTTTGATCCAAACAGATGGATGGAATAAAAAGAGTAATTAATTTAAATTTATTTTTCTAAAAGTTTTTCGTATTTTAATTATTATTTAAATATATTAAGATAAAACTTATTCAATTTCACTCCTTTCTCACTAGGTCCTAGAAATTGTATTGGCTAGCATTTAGCAATGATTGAAGGAAAATGCATGATAGCATATGTCCTGCTAAATTTTGAAATAATTCCAAATCATGAAGTATAAGTAAAAAAAGAAATCAAGTTAACATATGGCTTGCTGCCAGATAATCTTGTTTATTTTAAAAAGAGATAATAAATATGATCTTACTTACTTACTTACATATACATTTTCTAAATCTAAATTTTTTAAATATAAAATTTAAATATTTTTAGTGAGTTTCATAATTTGTATAAAAAAAATTAATTTTATTTTAAATATTTAAAGTATTTTGCTATAAAATTTAATTTGAAAATAAGTTATTTAGTTATAGAAAATTTTAAGTGAAACTTCTGTATATAAAATTATAATATTTATAGTAAAGGTATTTTTAAATTTTTAAATGCTAAGAACAAATTTGTTCTAAAAATAATTAGATTTATATAAAAATTATTTACTGATTAAAAATGTATTTAAAAGATGATAAAATATCTAAATAAAAAAATTTAATTATTTAAATGAAATAGAATATCATATCTTTGTATTAATATAAAATTATTTAATTTGAAAAATCTTGAATTTGAAATTTTTAATTTTAGAAATTAAAAAGAATAATGAATGAATGATTTAAAAATTGATAAAAATATATATTATTTTGCAAATAGATATTATATTAATCAAAAGAAAGAAAATAATATTAAAATTGCGCTTATAATAGATAAGATTTTGCTAGAGCTATAATTTGTAAAATCAACAATTTCACAGAATTAGCAAGCCTAAGTAGAAGCCCAATTATTTTTTATCCATTGTTCTCTGCATAGCCTTTACTGATATGATGTGCATGCCAACAAAGCTATTCCATTTTTATCAGGAAATTATGAGCAATTTTAAGCTACACCTGTTTAAACGCAATTTCCTTTAACAGAATCTGCATTTTAATAGTCAGTGTTATCCTAGAAATTTTAACAACTTTTAAAGTCAGTGCAGTACTTGCAAATTTGATTTTAGGATCTGCATGTATTCCAATCTGAATAGTAGCAATTTTTTAAGATGCAGTTAGTGAGATCTTTAAATTCCTAAACTTGGCTATCGAAATTGATTGTTTTCAAGCATAATGATCTAGCTGTTTTATCCATGTAGGAAGTGCATTTCATCATGTTAAAGTTAGTGAAGTAATTGGGATCAGTTGAAGGAAACTTGTTTTAGTATGCAAGCAATTCTTTGTTACAATTCACCCACGTGCAAGTCATGTCTAATGTAGATGTAGGGAAATCAGGAATATTGAAATTGTATTCTGATGCTGCTAATATGAGCCCTAAAATTTAAATAAAGAAAATAACCTTCTTGTTCATTTTATTTTTTGGATAGATGTTTATTCTAGTCTTTTATATAATTAAATAATTTAAAAATAATTTATATAAATAAGCTGCTTTTTATACCTAAAATTGCTTGCTTCAATTTCTGATAAATTATTATTAATTTTTCTAGAAAAAGTTTATTTTTTTCAATAAAAATATAATTTTGTAATACAAATATCTTATTCATATAGAAAAAAAATAATAAGTTAAGAAATTTCAAACCATTGATAAAGTATAAATAATATTTTTTACAATCTTCAAAATCTTCTGTAGTAAACAAAAATTATTTATAATATATTAAGTCATTTCATTTTTTAAATTTTGTAGAATACCCTATAAGTGGTAGACCCTATAAGTAGTAAAGTAAAAATTTTTTGAAAAATTAGGGAATCATATTTGACTACTTATCGGGTATTCTACGGTACTGCTTCATTAATTAATTTCATAAGAAATTTTAATAAATTTGTAATTTTATAGTAGCAATATAGAGTTTTTTTTTGAGTTAAAGATCTTAAGATATATTTAATATTAAATTACAATAAATCAATAGTTGAATATAATTTTATGTAAATTTGATAGAATTTATCAAATGTTTAAATTAGAAAAAAAGGTGTTACAAATAAATAAGTAAATATTTAGCTTAAATTTTGTAAATTAACTAAAATTTATTATATTCTGAGATTTAATAAATTATTTACATTTGATCGACTACTTTTAACAGTAACATTCAAAAATTTAATTCTGGTAAATTCTGAGTCATATTGTTATTCATTCATGCTTTTTAAAGAAAATAAAAAAAGCTAATTTTTTGATCCTTGAAGTTAATATTGAAAATTTATAACTGAGAGTCATTTTAAGAATAATTTTTCAAAAAATATTAGAAAATTTATATGGATTCCAATGTGTATGAATTATTGAGTTAAAAAAGGTGAACTTAAGCTAGTTAAATATAACAACCCAATCAAATTATTAAATTTCAGTAATTATATAGCTCAATCAATAATGAAGAATTAAATTCTCATAATTCATTAATTTTTGTAAATAAATAAAGAAAAATAAATAAATAAATATCTTGGCTTCAGCTTTCCAATAAAAATAATGGATAGTTGAGTTACTAGCTATGTAAGATAGATAAAATTAATCCTAAATAACACAAAAATGGATAAATTAAAACAATTTCTAATAACTAATTGATAGTTTTAAAAGCGCCGAGAGTAAAACTTAATGATAATAATAACAAATTTATGAAATTTTTTTTATAAAATTGACATTTAAAAAACATACAACTCAATTAGTTTAAAGCCAGTCATAAATAAAATAATAATATTAATTAGAATAATCCTAGATTATCTTTCAAAATTATAAAAAATGAAAATAATATTTTAAAAACTATTGCAAAAAAAATATGATCAATTAAATTCTTCAATTAAGAAAATTGCATATATATTTGTTAATTTAATTAATTATGTATTAATAAAAAAGTTTTTTCTTTTATGTTTTAAAGAAGAATTTAATGCTTTTTAAAATAATTTATTTTTTATTTATAAAAATAAAATATTTATTTCAAATATTATATAATTTAGAATGATGACCTTTCAGAGAGTCGTTATGATAAAATTTTGAAGAAATTTCCATTAAGGGTGACATCTAATCTAAAGCTTGATATTTTTCCATGTATTTTAGCATTGCAGATGGCTTATTTTACTTTATATACGTTTAAAATTCCCTTAGTAAAGGTTGAAAATATTTAAAGTATAAATATCTTATTTATTAGTCTTTGAATATATAAAAAAATAATTTAGATCATTTTCTATAATTATTATTCAAAAATAATGATTTTAAAGCCATGCAAAAATAGACTATTATAAAATATATAACATAATTATATGAAGTTAAATAAATAAAAGTTATTATTTAATATAAGAGTAAATAATTTCAAATCTATAAAGTTATTTAATGTAAAAATAAAAACATTTAAATATTCTAGATAGATTACATCAATAATCATTATTATTGATGCTATTAGAGTTAATTTAAATTTTTTAGGAAGGTACTGAGTTAGAGTTAATATCAAGAGGTTTTGGAGCTCCTTACTATTATTGATTGTCAAAGTTTTAGGAAGTTTTTCCTTACAATTACTTTTGCTGATGCTTTATTTAATTATCGTATCTACCTTCAGCAAAATTATTAAAAATTTATTCAATAGTTGCTTATCTAACATTATATGAAGATATATTCAACTCCTTTTTACTTTTTTCAAATAGCTCGAATAATTTTCCTATTGAGCTTGTGGTGTTTTCTACTTTGAACCTATATAGATTTGAGAAGTGTTCAATAATTGAAAAGCTTCCAAAGCTAGATTCAATAAATTTCTGGATATTTTTTCCATCATCTTCGATGCAAGCAAATTCTATTAGTTATTCTGTTGTTATTCCTTTTCCTGAGCTGATGTTCTATCTAATCAGTTTACCAGGCTCTTCTTCATTAATTTATTCATATAATTCAGCTTTTTTGATTACGTTTAATATATTTTAAATTTCGTTCATAGTTGATAATCTTTATTATCCATCAAGTTGATGGTCTTAAAGAATTTGAATGACTTTTTATTAAGGAATTTCAGTTTTTATGACTAGTTCATACCCTTGTCCGTATTTATTTTTTATCTGAGTCAGACTTCCTAAACATTTAAATGATCCATTCACCATAATTGTTAATCTATTACAAAGAGCTTCTGCCTCTTCCATAGAATGAGTAGTTAATATTACTGATGACTATTTTCTCTTGGTTGATATGCGAGAAATAACATTCCACATAAATCTACGAGCTTCAGGGTCCATTCCAGTTGAAGGTTCATCTAAAAAGACAATTGGAGGGTTTCCAAGCATGGCAATAGCGACAGATAGTTTTCTCTTGTTACCTCCAGAGTATGTTCCTGCGCATTTATTTTCAAAAGCACTTAAACCCATTTCTTTAATTTTTTGAGACACAAGTTGTTCTCTTAAATCTTTTGGAATGCCTTTAATGGCAGCGTATAATTCTAAATGCTCTCTTGCTGTTAAGTTTTCTAATAAAGCATCAAATTGAGGGCAATATCCTATATACCTTCTAGCATCATTTATCTAATAGCTCAAATCATAGCCCATAATATGAACACTTCCTGATGAAGGTTAGATTTCTCCTGCAAGCATTTTAAATGTTGTAGTTTTACCAGCTCCGTTTATTCCAAGTAAACCAAAACAATCACCTTCTTTAATACCAAAAGAAACTCTATCCACAGCGACTTTAGGTTCATTTCCAGTTGCGTAGAAAATTTTTTAAATATCTTTGACTCTTACTGAGTAATCAGAGGCACTTGAATTTGCTATTGTGTCCATTTCTTTTTAGACATCTGAATCAAAATTTTAATTCAAATATTTTATTGAGTTACCTTGAGCTTTCAATAAATCTTTTACAGATTTTTTTTATTTCAAATATTCTACTAAAAAGATTAAAACATAGTAAAATATTCCCTCTAGGCAAAGCATCATTACATCACCTCCTGCGATGTCTAAATCCCATGTACTTTATTATACAGTTTTACCAATTACTGTAGCGTATAGAGATTTGTTGGCCATGTTTATTATACCATAACCAAAACAAAAGGATGGGAATAATCTTAATATCCATTGAATTTTAAGAGCAACTGAACTAGTAGATTTGATGAGCCTCAAAACCATGAATAGAATAGGGCCAATAGATCCTAACAAAAAGTTAAAGAAGAATGCAAATACTTAAGCAACACCAGAATTTTAAAATAAAAAGCCAATCAAATAGGTAAAAGGAATGATAGCCCAGCCGTATAAAATAAAGAGTGTGCATATTCCTCCAAAGTTATCACCTTTACTAAAAGTCTGAATATCATATGCAATGACCATTAAAATGCACAAGCAAGCTGGAATGAGGTGCTTATTCATATCTACTATGTAATTGCTAAACCAGTAGCTTCTTAGGGAAAGCCCTGATACAAGCTATTAGTGCTTTATATTTTCTTCTCTTTCTTTTACAGTGAAAATAATAAGAGAAGCTGGTATTAATGCATAAGCGATAGAAAAAATGAATGAGGCAATAATTCCGTTAGCAGTATTCTCAAATCCCTTGACCTAATATGGTAAAGGGAAAGGATTGAAGGTGATTTTAATATTTTTTGAAGGATTATTAGTTGCTAATCTTAAAATGGCGTTATTCATCTAATTAATAAATAATGGTGTAGTATCTTTTGATATTGTCTATACTTCTGCATCATAAGAAAATACCTAATTAAGTGTATCAATTTTATTTATGAAGTAAGACCCCTTTCTGTCAACTGATTTTAGCTAGAAGTTTTATTCATCCCATGCAGTTTTAGAATTTGTGTTAAAGAATTCAGCCTTCCAATCATTTGGATTAAATACACTCATGAGTTGAGACATATTTTGAGTTGTCTCAGAACCGGAATAAATTATGTTAATAGGTGTGTTGAAAATAGAAGGCTAGATTACAAGAGGAGGACTCTCAACAATAAATTGCATGAGCGTAATAGTCAATCCTAAAGCAACAACTAAAAAGGGAATAACTATTTCACAAAACAAACCTCTTTTATCTCTCTTGAAATAAATAACTCTTTTGATTATCTAGGATTTGCAATGATTTAAAAAGAGCTCAAAATTTCCTTTAATTTTTACTTAATTTAAATCAAAATTATCTACTTAATCATCTTCTTTAACCTCTTTGCTTTCTGGATTGATCTTCTTTTCTTCAATGTTGTTATTTTAGCTTTCTTTCTCAGATTGTTGCTCTGCTATTCTTAAGAACACTTCTTCTAAAGTTGTGATTGAAATGCCGTATGATTCTATTTAAAAATTCTTTTTATTCTAGTCAATTCCATTAAACATTTCTGGGAACTTTGAGATAGATTCGCTTTTTAATTGGATAGTTATCTCACAGGAAACATCACTCAAAACATTTGCTTAAGGTATAATTGATTATATGTAAGTAATAATTGGTTCACTGCTAACATTGTTGTCTTATTTCAATATAGATAAGTTATATCCAACACCAAAGCGGTCTTTTAAAAACTCTGAAGAACCACAGCAAATGAGCTTTCCTTGACCCATAATTCCTATCCTATCACCAAGATAATCTGCTTCGTCCATGAAGTGGGTTGTTAATATTATAATTCTATCATTTCTATATTATTTAAGCATATCCCAAATGTATCTTCTTGCTGAAGTATCCATACCGCTTGTAGGTTCGTCGAGGTAAATTAATTTACTTTATCCAACGAAAGCTATCGCAACACTTAGACGTCTTTTTTGACCTCCAGACAAATTCTTACTAAGAACATTAGTTTTTTCTTATAAATCAACATCTGTTATTAGTTTTTCAACTTCTTTTTTCAACAATTACTAGTCTTTAACTCCTCTAAAAGCAGCAAAAAGTTCAAGATGTTCCTTAACAGTTAAGTTATCAAACAGCACATCATGTTATGGGCAAACTCCCATAAAAGTTCTTATTTATTCTATTTAAGTTTGGAGATCTAAGCCATAAACCTTTGCAGAACCTCTAGTACTTTACAGTAAACCTGTTAGCATTGAAATTGTTGTCGTCTTTCCTGCACCATTGTGACCAAGCAAAACGAAAATTTAATTTTTGTACATAGTTAAACTCAAATTTGACACTGCGTTGAATGGTTATCCTCTTCCATAGAATGTTTTTTTGAGGTCTTAAATTTTTAAAACTTCATTTTTAAACTCTTGATCTTTGAGAATTTGGGTAACTTCTTCAATATTTTTTAATTAAGTTTACTCATCATATTGTTCAAGTAAGTTTTATTTACTATTATCTTTATCAATATTTGTTTAATTGTTGTTCTTAAAGAAGCAATCTAAGAAAAATAAAGGTCTTTTCTTTTAGCCAAATTCATTTGGAAGAACTTAGTCTAAGTATAGAGAAAATATTGAAAAAAAGGCAATATTAACTAAGTTCATTAAAATTTGAGCTTAAACATTGAAGTTATTGACCATTTAATCCGCATTAGAAAAAGACACTCCTTTTTAGTTAGCCTCTAAAACAATTATAACCTCGCAAGCACGAGCTATTCCTGTCTAAGTTAAGAAACTTGCACCGGTGTACTACGCAGTAGAGTAGACTCCGTTCTAAAAAGTTGTGTTAACGACTATTGTAAAAAGGAAAAATAAGACTGCAAAAAGTGTTCCCTATCTCGCTTTGGTAAAGAAAGAAGTCATAAAAATTGATTAAAATATCAAAGAAATGCAGAAAAGCCAAAACCATATGAAAAGGAAGAAATAATTGCTCTGCTTGAAGACAGTAATTTTTAAAGCAAGCGCTTGCAAAAGTGAAATAACAGTAAAAATCACCAAATAATGAATAATCCATGATAAGTAGAAAGAAGACGTTTTCATACCTTATATCTTCATTACTTCTCTGATTTTCTTTTCTTTTTCAGTTAAAATGCTCTAGGTTAGTCTTAAGTAACTTAAAATAAGAGGGAGAACAACAAAAGGCGCAAAGTTACCAGTTAATTAGAGATCAATCGGGTCTTTTGTGTAGCTTTGAGTTTTAATTGGGTAAACATTTGCTTAAATTTGGGCGTTTGTATTTGCAGTTTCTTTCTTCAAAATGAGATTATCAATATAATTTTGGAGAGTGACAAAACCTGATGAGACCCACAAATCGAAAAGAGGATTCTTGAACTCTACCTTATAATCGTAAGTGGTTTATCTAGTAGTATCAGGAACTTGATCCAATTCTCTTGAAGGTGGTCCTGTATTGTTATAAACCAAGGTGTAAGAGTATTAGCCATTAGTAGAAGTAGAAATTTAAATAGCCATGCAAATATCCCAATTATAATCGATACTTTAAGTATAATCAAAGAGCTAATTTAGAGAATCCCAGCCTTCTGTGTCATAGCCATAAACAGTCTTTAACATCTGACTTACTTCGTCTATCAAATCGTTTGTTTTAGGAATTAAAGCGACTTTTCCATTTCTTTAAGGTCTACCATCTTACATATTATTCTTGCAATTTAGCATTGGAGGAATAATTTAATTGCCTGTAGTAGAATTTAAAACTCCTGTTGGAATATTAGGATATAGAACTGTAGGTTAATTTATGTATGAAGTCTCAGGAATGACTTAAGTGCTCACATTCGATCTTATTAGGTTCATTCCTCCTAAACATACAAGAAACGGTAATAAGATTTCGAATAAACTGCAGCAAAGATTTCTTCGCCAAAGTATAAAATTTTTCTTAAGCAAAGCACTAAGATGTTTGTCTCTGATCATTTTTATAAGGTTAATTTAAATTAATTCTAATTTTTAAGAAATTATTATTAATTTTTACTCTTTTAAGAGTATTTTTAGTTGCAAAAAATAATAACTTAATTTTTATTGTGAAGAAGAAAGTTCTTTTGCAGTCTTAATTACATTTTCTCTAATTATTGTTAATTTCTATGTAAATAAAAATTTCAATAAAATAGTATATTCTAGATTTAAGTTTATTGAACCTTCGGTTATTACTTACTTCGATTTTATTTTTAAAAATAAATTAATTGGGTTCATATAAAGATTTAAACAAAATAAATGTATCTCAATATGTTCTTTTATAAAAATAAATAAGAAAAATTAAAAAAATATTATTTATTTTATTTTCATTTAAATTTATTAGTATATTTATAATAAAAATAGTAAGTTAGTCACATATAAATCTTACTTATCCAAATTTATTAAAATATTTTTATTTATTACTTTAAAAAGTAATTTTTTAATTAAATTTACTATTAAATAAAATATATTTAAAAGTACTAGAAACTTATTCGAATTTTTTCTTCAGGATATATATTTGAAATGAATTTCTTGTTAAATTCAACAATATTATAAATTCATTATTTTAATATAAAAAATAATAATAAATTTATCATAAAAATATCCATACAATTTACTTTTTATTATAATAATTTTATTACTAAAAATAGATTATCTATTTATCATAATCAATAATAGTTTAATTCTATTAAGATATTTATCTAAAAATTTATATAGTGTTGTTCAAAATTTTTTTACCACCAAGTCTATTTTCTATAGTAAAATATTCTTTTAATTATTATTCACTGAGCATTAAATAGCTGGGCTTGTAAAAAATGTACGGGATTTAAAAATATTTTAATTTTTAAAAAATAGATAAATTAAAATAAAAAATTGTTTGAAAGCTTTTTTGTTTGATTAGTTGCTTATAATTTAAAAATTTTACTGTAGAAAAAATTCTAATTAAGAATACAAAAAATCCTTAAAATATAGCCATTTTTTAAAATAAATTTTACTGAATTAATAATAATAATTGAATCACAAAATCTAAATGTAAACAAAATAAATTACTTAAAAATAACATATATATATTTAATTTTATACTGAATAGTCGCAAGTAAAATTTTTCAAGATAAATTAACTTGCTTTAATGATAATAAGCAGGATTGATATATTAAAAATAACTTTAATTTAAAATCATAACTTAATCATCTTTATAAAGCAAATATCAAATAAAATTTATCAGATTTTGTGATAAAAGACAAAGATAAAATAAAATAGATTATTATTTATCTTTTTTAGATATTTATCTGTTTATTTGTTTGAAAATTTATAAATAACTGCAAAATAATAAATAAATTTTCAAAAAAGTTTAAATTAATTAAAAAATGTGTCAGAAAATTAAAGTATAATCAAAATTTATATTAGTAATTAGTAAAAAAGAAGGTTCTAGATAAATTTAAATTTGAAATGGTGACTTTTTTATATTAATTGGTGTTTTTGCTAAATTGAATATATTTTTTTATCAGCTTTATTTTATTTGATTCAGCATTTTTTTCTTTAAATTTTATATTAATTTTGTTAGTAAGCTTCCTAAGCCGAAATATTTTACAAAAATCTTCAAAAGTGTAAAAAATATAAAGATAATTTTTGAAAATTTATTTATATTTTACCTAATAAACATTTTAAAGGCAAAAACATCAATTTAAAAAAATTTTTTATGAGAAAGGATTTGTCAGAAACTTCAGGTGTAATTTTAATATTATAAGTTTATTCAATTTAAAGAATTTACATATTTATAGATAGTAAGTAAAATAGAATATTATAGATTCAAAGTATTTATTTTATTATCTAGTTTATTATAAACTATAATTTCTAGCGATTTTAATAATTAAAAAATTGAATCAGAAATTAACATCGCGGATTTTGTTTTCAAAAATTAAACTGAATACATTAAATATATTTTATAACCTGAACTGAATAATCTAACCAAAACAATTATTTTTTAGTACTTTAACATTACAACTGAAGTGAAAAATAGATAGATAGATAGATAGATAGATAGATAGATAGATAGATAGATAGATAGATAGATAGATAGATAGATAGATAGATAGATAGATAGATAGATAGATAGATAGATAGATAGATAGATAGATAGATAGATAGATAGATAGATAGATAGATAGATAGATAGATAGATAGATAGATAGATAGATAGATAGATAGATAGATAGATAGATAGATAGATAGATAGATAAATAGATAAATAGATTAAAAATACATACATGCATAAATACTATTTGGTTTATTCGGATAAATGTATTAGTTATCATTACTGAGAAAATAAGAAGGGAATAACATTTTTTAATTTAAAATGGCGAGACTTTTGATACAATTAATTTGATTAAAAAGGAGAGTTTAGAGCATATAATTATTGTAATTAAATAGAAAATTAGTTAAAATTAATCAATGAACAAATAATATTTAACTTTAATAAGCATTTTTATTAAGAAAAGATAAAAGTAAACACAAGCATGCACTACATAGGCATGCATAAATAAACTCTCTATTTACATAAAATTTATATATGATATTGATAAATAGTTTTAAAGAGATCAAACTCTGCTAATAATTTCTTTCTTTAGATCCAAATTAAAGCGATTGTAAACATCATGAATTAGCTCATCGTAATTGACAAAAAGTTTCCAATAAAACAGGCATACATAAGACTAATAATTAAAATAAAAATTGCATTGAAATTCAAAAAAAAAAAATAGTAAATTTTTTACTTTAAGGAAAATGAAGACTAGCTACATGATCGGGATAAAGTAAGTCATGGCTTTACCTATCATATCAAATTAAGCATCAACTGAGTTCCATTTCTTTTTGTTTTTATTTAAAAATTATAAAATTTATAAATTTGATAAGGAATAATTACGGATGGATAGATGATAAACCAAACAACTGAAAGCGTTATAGAAACTAAAAAGAGTAAAGTAAATCTTCTAAGTCTTTTTCTGGTCATAACTTGGCAATAGAAGAGTATATAGCAGCTCATAATTAAGACCATCTTATGATAAAAATTATTTGAAAATTTTATTATTTTATCATTTAGTAAATTTTTATTATTACGTCTAAGAAATTGCAAGTATCATAGCTAAATATAAGGAGGTAGAATATGTATAGTAGAGTAATTCTAAATATGTTACTAGCCCAATCATTTACTTTAAATAAAAATATATTTTTAGATTAAAATATTTTAAATAATATTTAAATTTACCAAATGGAGCTACTAAGGCAGCTAGAGAATTAATGAGATTGATTTCAAACTTCATGACTGAAACTGATGAGGTGTTATCAACAGTTTGATAACCAAGACTGAAGTTAGTTGATTGCAATTTTCTATCTTTAGCAGCAGTGTTTTTCTCTTCTTTAATTTCGTTTTACCATATTTCGGTAAGGAAAACAGATGGATTGGGATTTATAGGGCATTATTCCTTATTCATCATTTACATACTGGATTTAAAGCTATATTCAGTTCTGTAGTCTTGTGTGGCACTAAATTTCAAAACAAGCACTTGCTCTTTTTGTGGTGGAATCGCTATTTCTATGTTATCTTTATCTAATTTATTAAAAAATAAAGTATTAACTAACATTTTCTTAGTCACTTATTTTTGTAATAAAAAAATACCTTAATATTCTTTAGGAAGAGAATACCCTAGCAATTTTGTGAAAGAAAGCTTTTAGTATAAACTGGTGTTCCATGAGAAATTGTAGAAGTAGAAGAAAAGAAGACCCATGTCAGAGCCATAAATTCTACCAATTTAATCGCCATTATATTTATTGATTTTTATCTTTGAGTTTGGGTTTCCAACGGAAAACTTTACGTTTTCTGTGCAATATGATTTAATTGCTTAACACATAAACTTGTCGAAGTCCATACCCTCTTGAATCAAAGAAAACTTTGTTTCTTGCTCAGCATAACAACCTAATCAAAAATTTAAAAATAAAATTGTCAAAATTTTTACAATCAATTTAATTGAAATTATTTTTTTTTGCAAATTAATATTTTACTAACTATTAAGTTTCTATAATGATTTTAACACCACATGACTTCGGTTAGAATGTAATATTCACCCTCATCTAAATTGTATTATCTAATTGCAATATTTCTTTCAACATCGAATTCCCCTCCTATCCATTTAATAGATCCATTCTACTCTCTTTTAACTAGGATGAAAGTTGCAAAAGAATATTTATATTTTGATTCATCATTATTGTAATGACGCATATCTTTTTGGTTAAGAGAAACAGTTAAATGCTTGGATTTCTTCAAAACCTAAAGTTTTATAATTGCCTAATTGCTTTAAGCTAATTTGAATGAAATAGAGTTATATTTTGCTGATTCCTAAATTTAGCATGCACCAACACCTTCAAAGTACTTGCAAAAATCTTAAATACTCATCCAAAATGAACCATCTTCTTCTCTTTTGAAACTAGGAACTTGGCTCATTGTGTATTTATTCCACAATTTTTCATCATTATCTGCCCAATCTCCTTTCCATTCACCTTTACTATTAAATAACACAATATTAAAGCTTAATTATACTTTCAAGAAACAAATTTTTTTGATAATTAAAATCAATCATAAAAAAAATCAATATTAATTGAGATTATTCAAAAATCCATTTAACATTATTTCAAAAATAAAAACTTTAATGAGGTTCTATAGGAATCCATTTGAAATCAATTCACAAATTAACTCTTTATATAATGTTATTTTCACTTTTAAAACTTTTACTATTAAAATTTTAATTAAGCCCTTCATTTGTTGTCTATTTCGATTAGCAGATATTATTTTTTTAAAGAAAAACATTGTATTTTGCTTATTTTTTAAGTAGTAAAATTTACTTTAAGCAGACGACAAAAAAAATATTCTAATTTTTTCTTTGTTATATTTTGATCATAGAAATCTATTAAAATTTTTGTATTATTATAAAATATCCTTTATTTGCTTTTTTATTGATTAGACAATACTATTTTTTAAAAAGATTATCCTTTGCTTATGTTGTAAATGGTAAATATAGTTTAAGCAGGTAGTTTTAATTTACCTTTGTTATATTTTGACCTTATAAATCTAATTAAAGTTTTTATATTATATAATAAATCCTTTATTTGATACCTTATTGTATTGATTAAACAAGTATTATTTTTTTTAAAAAACATTATTTTTTGCTTATGTTTGAAGTAGTAAAATAAATATAGTTTAAGCAGAGAATATCTTCTAATTTATCTCTGCAATATTTTAACCATATAACAAGCAATTTGAGAGCTAATTAAAATTTTTGTTGATAAAACAGAAGTATTTATAGATTAATTAATAGAAAAAATGCTTTAAAATATTATTTAAGATTAAATATACCCCCATGGATTTCTAATTTGAAGGATGCGATGTTCTTTGCCATCTTGTGTCTTAATTTTTTGGACATCTAATATTGAGTAAGCATGTCCTGAATAAAGACCAACATCTAACTGAGCTTCTCTAATTTCAGTGGAAGGTGTGTAGCATGTAAGTATATCACCTCTTCCTGACTTATCATGCTCAAATAAGAAATTAAACATGCTATCTGGTTCTTTTTCATCAAAATTGACATATGGGGCACCTGTTAAATCTCTGAGAGCAACTGCTGGATTACCACCTTCAATTTTGTAATAGGAACCATAGGCTTTTGCGTATGCTTTTTCCAATAAAAGTACCCACAATTCATTTCCATTAGATCTAGTGAATGCAGGTTATTTATTTTTACAAGGAATGTGATCATCGACGACGATGCATCTCCATTCTCCTTCAATATTTAACCAGATTGCATAAAGACCATTTTCTTGGTAAGTCTTAGTTTCAAATAATCTCTTAATAAGCATTTCTCTTTCTGCTAGAGAGCTTAATGATGATAAAAAATAGCAATCACCTAAAATACCTTATTTAATATCGTTTGGTTCAATAGTGTCAAATAATTTTATCTATTCTCCTGGAGCAAGTTTCAAAAAATCTTTTGGTCTAAGCCATGTAATTTGTGACCAAGACTTTAAAGTAGCTTAGTCTGTAATATCGTCCCAATTGTTGCAAAGGGATTCTCTATCAGGAGGAAATTGCTCATCTATAAAAATGGATCCAGGGTTCTAATCTAGATGTTTTTTACGCATCTAGTATTCAGTTGTATCTTCACCAAACTCTTTACAAAATATCTACTTGATGTATTCCATTTAATCATGGGTAAAATTCAATCTGCTAGAAGATGGTATTTGCATCGACATTTTTTCAAACTTTAAACCTTTTACTTATTTGATAAATCTTACTTACTTTACTGATTGAAATAATCTTTAAAAACTCTTTTTTAATAATTAAATAAATATCAAACAAACAAACAAATAAACAAATTTTATTTATATAGTCTTCAATTAAATGCAAATAGAAGTAATAATTTTTATTTCGCGATAATCCAATGCTAATGCTAAATAAACAAATCTTATTTTTACAAGATATTTTATCAAACAAATCAATTAGTCAATTCATTATTTTTTAAGTTAGTACTCATTAGCCATATATTTCTTACAAAAAACAATAAATCACTCAATCACTTACTAATCGATAAAAAAAAAATTCAATTTCTTCTCATATTCACAATTTAAGGATACGTTTTGCCTTTGATAATCCTGCGCCTGTTTTGTTTTGATTTTTTTAGTTTCAAAGTTAAATTTATATCTAAAAATATCTCAAAGCAAAAATACTAACAATAAGTTAGTTGGTTGTTAAAATTTTAATGATTATAAAAAAATTTCATAAAATTAAAAAACATTCTATTTAAATACTAAATTCCTTTTAAAATTATATAAATATAATAAAAATTATATTTCTTTCTCAAAACGTAAAATAAATTGAGCTTAATTTTTTTTTATAAAATATTTAAAGTTAAATTTAAAAATTCAACTGTATTCTTTAATTAATTAACTAGAAAATAATATACACAAAATAAAATAATTTTTAATTTAACTTTTAGTTTTATTCATTTAATCTTAATTTCAAAAATATTAATCAAAAAAAAAATTATTTATTTATTTTTATTTAAACTATATAGAAAACCTTTTGTTGTTCAGTTAAAGATTTACTTTTGTAATTTTAGGACCATCCAAAATTTTTGATTCTACTAGCTTGAATTTTTTTTAGTACATAATATAAAACAAAATGTCTTGAAAATAGACTTAATTCGTATAAATACTATATAAAATTTTTATTTAAATTATTGATTTTGAATTAACAAAAAAAATTATTTTCATAAATTAATTTATTTATTTTATTTTTTATATTTTTAATGCAATTAACAACTTTAAAAAAGAATTTTTTAGTAAAGTTTTTTATTTTTACTTTATATGTATTTTTTAAGAAATGCAATTAAAATTTATGAGTTTAAATCCAAAAATAATTTAAAATTTTAAAACATATTTTTTTTTTACATTTATAAAAGTAGTAAAAAACCATATTTTTATATTTAAATCTCCGATAAATAAAATTAAATTAGGTATTTAAAATTATTTTTATTTTCAAATGTTTCTTTTTTGCTAATTAAAATTAAATGTTTTTTGTTTAAACTTTATTAATTTGTAAAATTAAAAGATTCTTTCTTTAAATTAATAAAAAATAAATTAAATTTGAAGATTCTATACCAAAATATACTTTTACAATTTTTTTATGTTTAGCTTGCTAAAAATATTAGATTTAATTCTTATAGTACTTGAAAGTTTAGTATTTGAATTAATTAATATTTATGCTAAAAATATCAAATAGTTGCTTTTTGGAGAAGAGCTTTACTTAAATGTGTTTGAATATAATGTAATATAAATATTTCTTAAGAAAAATTGTTTTAAGAGATGAAAATAAATTAGAAATTTTTAAGAATTATAATTGAATGCAGTTTATAAATAAGTAGATAGATATGTACAAGAAGATGGTTGTGTGTATGTATATAAATAATTTAATTGAGAGAATTTTTAATTATATTTTAGTTGAGTTAATTTAATTAGAATTTAGTATTCGAGAAAAGAAGTGAAAATTTTGAGAGAGTTGGGATATTAATTGTTATTGTTATTTGTATGTTAATTAGTTTAATTAAAAGAGATGGTATTCAGAATTTGTTAGTTTGTTTTTATTGTAGATGCAGATTGAAATTTCAAAGGCATTTCACAAAAAAAAACTAAAACTCATCTGAATCAGTTGCTGCTAGAGATGATATCTCTAACGAAGTTAGAAGCTTCTTCATAAGTGCAAGCAGATTCTTCTTGTAACCAGGGGTGATTGAGGATTTCTGAAGCACTGATTCTGTCTTCTTCGTTGTAGGCTAACATTCTGTTGATCAAATCCTTGAATTCATCAGAGATGTTGTTGTTGTACTTTTTAGCGAGGTTGGCCCAGTAGGCATCAAAATTGTTATCAACGAAGAATCTGTAATAAGGATCACTTTGGGTAGCCTTGAAGAAGGGAGGCATACCATTGACGATAGAGAATAAGACAACACCACAGGCAAAGATATCAACCTTTTTACCACAGTATCTTTGTCTGGCTTGTAATTCGGGAGCCATATAACCTTCGGTTCCCATAATTCTTTCGAACTTTTGGCCTTCGGTCATCTTGGAAGCAAAACCGAAGTCGGCAAGCTTCAAGTTGAATTCGTCGCTGATTAAAATATTTTCGAGCTTGATATCTCTGTGAGCAAAGCCATTTTCATGGATGTATTGGACAGCGTTTATTAATTATCTAAAGTAGAACTTAGCTACTCTTTCAGAAAATTTCTTTTTGGCTACAACATCGAATAATTCACCGTTGGAGAGGTATTCGAATACAACATTTTTCTTATCGAAAGAGACCATTTCGATGATATTTTCATGGGAAAGAGTTTGAAGAGAAGTAATTTCATTATTTAAGTCTTAGACAGCAGAAGCATATGACTTGAATTGCTTGATAGCGAATACTTTATCGGAATTAGGCATTTTGGCAGTCTTGACTGTGCAAGTCTTGCCCTTTCCTATAGTTCTCATGATTTCCATTTCATCAATTTAGATGTTATAGAGATCCAACTATTTCTTAGCTTAGTTGGTGTTATTTTCAGAAGATTAATTTTCAAAGCTCATTTAAGTAAAATTATTTTTTTGTGTTTAAGATAATGATTCCGTTTCTAAAGAATTTTGTATTTTTGTATGGAGAGTTGAATGAAAAGTGTTTGTAAAAGTAAATAAATTAATTTATTAATTTATTGAATATTCTTTTAATTGATTTAATAAGATTTGCCTTCTTAAATTTTTTAAATATTTGTGATTTTTTGTGTTTTTGAATTAATTTTTGTTTGAGTTTTAAAATTAATTATGAATAATTTGCAGTTGACGAAATTTAATTAGAGTCTACCCATCATAGACACTATATCAAATTCTTTAATTATTAATGTATGTATGATCCTTTTGCATATAATAGATGCTTTAAAATTCTGACGCGAATTTCTTTCGCGCATATAATTTTCTTGCATAATTAATTTCCTCTCACTTTTCTATGAGATAGTTATTTAGGTTAGTTGTTAATTAGTCACTCTCTATTATTAATTCAATATATCGTCTATACATTTTTCAATGTGCCTTGCGCTAAATTAATTATCTTTCATCATTCTTTTCAAAACCTATTCATTTGTACTTGGAGCGAAAAATAAAGCAATTTTACTCAATTTTTAATTATTTCTTTATTTACTTATTTTTTTCTGCTAAGAAAATCTAAAGATAACTGATCAGAAGAATTTAATTCTGTACTCAATTTCATACCCACTTCTATTTTCCATTCATAATTTTGGTTTTTCTAATTACTATCATAGTAATTACAAGGCTATTAAAATACTTTATTAAGGAAAGTTAAAATCAAATTAAAGCGAACCTAAATAATTTATTTGTTTGCTCATTGTTTGTTTATTCTTCTGATAAATTTGTACAATATAGAAGAAATAATTATTCTGATTATGAAACTATAGTAAATTCTTTTAATTTAATAGCTGCTTGTGCTTTCTTTATCTACTTTCTTTTCTATTGCATTTTCACTCTCTCTAAAAACCAGCTAGCTCTTTATTTATTTTATTATTTGGCTTCTAATATAGATAGATAGATACATAAACAAAGATATCATTCAATTTATTTCTGCTTATACAAATAGAAAGGCTTAATATTCCTTTATCTTTTTTTTCTGGTAGATGCAAGTGAATCTAACTCAAATTCATTTAAATCCTCTAATAGCCGCTTTAAGGCAGATAAGTATTTTTTTTTTTTATCCCTATTTATCAAAAGAACTAAAAGTATTGAAAATCCGCCGCCCTTAATCTATTTATTTGATTTTTTTTGTACATCTCAATCCAGTCTTTAAATTAAATTATTTCATGATATCTAATTTGCACCCTTAAATTTTTACAAGGTAATTCCACAACTCACAAAAATCAAATGCAAAAATACAACCAAGCAAGCAATATTTGAATTCTCTCAAATTAAATTTGATCAAAAACAAGATTTTCATTTAATTTAACAAACAACACAAAAAAATTATGAATTTATCTATGAGACATGGGTAGTGACGATTAATTTTAAATTAATTAAATTTTATATAAATTCAATGGAAAAATTATTAGTAGCAAATATCATCTAATTTCTTTATGTGACTGACTGATGCATTTAATTTTCGATAACAATCAATCAATTCATATTAAAACAAATTAAGTTTTCTAAACTCAATTAAAAATACATTAAAATGAGTATAAGAAAATAGAAATGGCTGTTAAATTGAGTTTATTGTTTGAGTAAGTTTAATAAAATATAAATCTAATAGTGAATTAAAGAATTTAAAATTATAAATGCATATTATAATGTTATTTGAGAGTATAAAAAGAGAACTCATATACAATCTATTTATTTTTTTATTTATTCACATAATACAAATAAGATAAAGATTAAGTCAGAAGAATTAATTATAATTATTGTCAGATAAATACTTAGGGATGGAGATAAAGAAGAAATTCAAACCCAAATTTAAATTAGATAAAATTATGATAAAATTTAACCTTGTACTTAATTCTTTTTTGCTAAAAGTGACCTAGAGGATTAATAATTTATATTTGCCAAATCGATCGATCAGTCTAATAAATCGAGGAAATAATTAATATTATTCATATTAAAATAGATCAATCAATAGAATACCTCTTACTTTTATTAAATAACTTTCATGCAAATTACAATCAATCGATCAGATATATTTATAGCCACTTATTAATAATCAGTCAAAGCTTAAGATTTAAATTGAAAATACATTTAAATCTAAGGATATACCTTTTTAAATTTAGAGTTCTATTTATTACCCATCTTCATGCTAATAGATAAACAAATCAAGACTCTAAAATCTAGCAATCATACAATATTTTTTACACGTTTTTCATTTTTAAAGGATAGTTGCTAGTTAGTTAGCTACTATTAAACAATATCACAATTTGTACTGACTGTTTTTAAATTCATACTATTTTATTTAATATTTTTCTTGTAACTTATTTACTTACTTACTTGTTTATTTATATATTGCTCTGACTCTTATTCATTAACCTCATTACATTTCAACTCGACTCTTGAAGTTAAATAAATAGGCTTTTATTAAATGGAGATATAAAATTATTGACTTTAATTGAATATTTTCTACTTCTATTTAAATAAGTAGAAAATAGTTCTCTTCTTTATTATCTCATCTACTATAAAAATAAAAAAGACAAAGTATTTATCTGCCTTCTCATCATAAATTGCTAACTAATTAACTATACCAAGCCTTCTTTCTTAAAGCATTTTAAAATTATTATAATACAAAGGCTTTATTTCTGTTTAAAATTATTTATTACTATTTTTTATTGATTTATTTATAAGTTTATTTAATAAGATTTATAAAAGGTTTTTTAATTTTTCAATCCTGCTCTTGAACATCTTCCTCTATTTCTTCGAGAGGTGGCTGAGATGATTGCTCACTTTCATCAACCTCCCTTTGTACCATTTGAGTTGAAGAAATGACTTTCATAAGTCCATACACTTTACTCTTTAAGTCTACTTAGAGAACTTGAACTATTTTCTATATTCATATAATTTATCAGAAAAGGCTTAATTTATTTTCTTTAAATATTTAAATTTGTATAGAAATAAACTATTTTTACCAATCTGCACAGATAACATTCACCAGTTTTCTTCCATATTTCTAATGAACAGTCATAGCAAACACCTTTTTAAATTTTTTGAAAAATGTTAATTATTTGGAATGCAATTTTAAGGAAAATGAAAAAAATCTAAGGCAAGCTAATAATTAATATTTTTAATTTGATAAACCTACATTGATAAATATCTTTAAATTTACAAAAACAAATAAATATTCACACCTCATTTAAATAAAATTTAATTTATTTATTTCTATTAAAAATAATTTCAAACGCGAATGAGTTTGTTTAAAACGTTAAAAAATATTTCATCAATTTCGATAAAGTATAATTTTAAATTGTATTTTTCAATGAAAAGATAATAAAAATAAATAAATTTCTGATATTTTCTAAAATTAGCTTATATTTAAATCAGTCAACCAAAAAAAAGTGAGAGTGAAAGAGAGAGCAAGATAAGCAAGATTAACTAATATAGACGGGAATTTGGAAGTAGAAAAATTAGATTTAATTTAATTAAAAAAATTTTTGGAACTTGTTTCTGCCTTTTAATGCTTGAAAGTAATATTAAAAATTTAATCAATGTAATAAATATATTTTTTTAATAAGGGAATTAGTATGCAATAATAAAAAAATTTCTTATAAAATTTCATAAAGTTTTGATTACGTATCATTGCAAATAAATATCTGATGACCGCATTATTTTATTTGTTAATTATATTTAAAATTTTACATTTAAATAAACTGAAATTTTTTATCAAAAGAAGGGTAACTAAATGACAAATAACTTTCTTTCAAAATGAATGATATTCTTTAGATTTTAAAATTTAACTTGCATTCATTTCTAAGTACTATTCTCATAAATTTAAATAAAGTAAAAAAACTCTGATTTATTCTAAATATTTGTAATAGTCTTTGATTATATAATAGTCATAATTAAAATTTTATTGTGCTTACATTATTGATTTAGAAATTATTACTTCATATTGCACATATTTTAAAAACTTTTGCTATTATAAAAAAGCTGGCTTGCGAAAAAATAGATAATTTAATTTACTTAAAAATAAGTAAAAGTAAAGGTTTTAGTTGTTATAAATTTTCTATACAAAACAGATCCAGTGGAAAAGAAATAATAAACTTTATTCTACCAATAAACGTTACGTGAAAAGTAATAATTGCAAATGATGACTATTATATTTTTTATTGAAAATTCTTTTTATTATTCTATTTTCACAAATAGCAATCTAGTTTGTTTTTATCGTTAGGTTCTCATTGTTATAGATAAAATTGAAATATAAAATTTATAAGAAAGAATCCATTTGGAATTGTTTAAAAATGCAATAATTTAAAAAGTTATAAATACCTCCATGACCGCAATCCATAAAGACTGAATCAGGGGATTTATCGAAGCAAACCAAGCAAGTGTTAGTCGATTTATCCATTCTACTGCAAGACATCATAGAGCTTTGATCTTATTAGCATTTACTCTACTAAGATTGATCGCAGATTGAGCTCTCCTCTTCAAAAGGAGGTAATGGAAGTTTATTAGTTGAATCTTAATTTTCGTTTTTAAGTGATAACTATCTGTTGAAATTCATTTAAGATGTAAGTTATGCACTTAAAAACCTCCTATGCTAATTACTGTTATTACTATTAGCAATAGCATTTGTATTTTAAAGTAGAACTTCGTCATCTTTCTTTTTATAACTGCTAATTAATGGATTGTTCTATGTTTTCCCAAATTAGTAGTTTTTAGGACTATTTGGAATGTTTTGTATGGAAGGAATTCCTATTTTTAAAAATAAAGCGTTTTATTTTTAAATAATAAAAATTAATATTTATTCTAAATATTTTATTGATGTTATTTGATTAAATTCAACATAGCTATATATTTTTTAGTTAATCTAAAAAGCGAATTAATAAATCAGCTTTTAAAATTAAAAATATTTAATAGAAAATAAAATATTTTGATTTCGTTTTCAAAATACTTTCTTTTTAACTTGTTTAGAATCAAGAAATAAACAAAAATATTTTTATTTACCTTAGTTATTTTAGTAAGCATCGCATTAGCTTAAATTTCTCTCTCTTTTTTAGGCTTTGCTGATAATGTTGTTGTTATTTGTTTAATCAAGGATACTTTTTTCTTCAATAATTGTGTTAAGTTATCCTTCATCATCACTATTATGCTATATTAACTCAACTTAATTTTATTATGACTCTTGTTATTAGTCATTAATTTCATCATTATTATTTTTAAATAATTGGTTTTAATATAATTTTTTATTGTTATTTTATTAAATATTGATATTTTATTGTATTTAATTATTAGTATTATTTGTTCCATTTTGGCTATTTTCTGCTTGTAATGGATTTTCTATGATGGAAACATGCTATTCCTTATTTCTCTAACTTGGAATACCATTTTTCTAATTTATATCTTCTCTTTCAGATTCTTATGTTTCGAATTCTAATACACAATCTTTGCTGTCTTTGTTCTAATTAAGATTTAATTCATCGCTTTCTGTAAAAGGGAGTAAAATTTGATTATTATTGTTTTGATTGTTATTTATATTGTCTTATGCTGCTAAAGAGACGGCATTTTAGCTAGGTCTCTTAAAGGGCATATTTTGTATTATATTATTTGCTCCTTTTTTGAGTGAAGTTAGCAGTTCATTAGCAAATCCAAATTTATTACCTGAACTCTATGAAAAGCTGCTATAATCAAATACTATTGAAGAAGCTGATCTTCCGTGGTTTTTATCAAGCATATTTTTTTTGGTATTACTATTGTTAGAGTTTTGTAAAACTATTTAACTTTATTTATTTTACTCATCATTTTTATTAGCCTTTTTAGGCTGTTGCTTCTTTGGTTGAATTTTTTATTTTTTCTGTTCTTCTTTTTACTATTTTTCTTTCTATTTTTGCTTAAAATATTCATTAGGATTCATTTTAGGATCTGTTTTTTTGAAGAAAGTGTTTGTAAGTTTCTCTAAAAATCTAGGAATAAAAAGTGGTTGCTCGATTTATTTATCAGATTTATTCTCAGCTTTTTCTTTATCTTCATCTTCTTCATTTTGCTATAAATTTTATTAGTCATTTTGTTAATCATTATCATTGTCGTTTAATTGCTGATTTTATGCATTTTAGTTAGCTTATGTAGGATCGATATTTTATTGGGTATTTTATTATATTTTTTGTTAGAATTATTTTCTAACAAAATCAGTATCAAAAGATGACATAGATTTTAAATAATACCTTTTTTTAATTTATTTAATAAATTAATAAATAAATAAATAATTTGAATTATATTTTAAATTTTTTACAAAATTGAAGTTCTCCAATAAGAGCTTATAAAAACATATAAAGCAAAGTAGGCCATAACAAAGTAAAGAAAAATTAACAGCTGATTTTTTTCGTTATTATCCAGGTAATCAATTACACCAAAAAGAAATAAACAAGATCCAGTAGTAACTCCTGCAACATTAAAGAAAGCCCAAAATATCCCTTTCACTATTTAATTTATTATTTTATGTAATTTAGTTATAAAACAAAATATTTATTTATTTACACTCAAAGGTTTAAGCTTCATTCAAACACACTTAGAATAATTTACTTAAAAACATTAGAAAAGATCCAAAAACAATGCCTACCATAACTGAAAATATGATCCAATAAGACCAAAATGTTTATTACCAATTCCAATCAACATATTAATCCATTTTTAAGCAGACTGAAAAGCTCAATAATAAAATAAATATTCTAAAGCCTAATAAGAACTATTTTATCATTCAAAAATTAGTTAAAATATTTATAATTCTTCAATAAACAATAAAAGAAATCTGAAGAAAGAAATAAATTATTATTTTTGAATATTAAATATTATTTTGGTTTATTTATATTTTTAAAATTTTAATTAACTAACTTGTTTAATTTTTAAAAATTAAAATTTTTTTGTTTTAAATAAACTAAATAAATACTAAAGATACTTCTTTACAGTTGAAGATTTTTTTAAAGAGAATTTTTATCTTAGATAAATTTAATTTAGGTGAACAATTAACCATAATTATTTTTTTCAAAAATTTGTTTTTTTCAGAAACTTTTTAATTATCTCAAAATCAAAAAGATGAATGGCAATTTTTTTTATTAAATGCTTGGTTTAAAATTTATTAATTTCAATTTTTTGCTATTATTTTGAATGCTTACAAAGTATTTATTTATTTATTTATTTATTTTTTGTTTTAAATTGTATTAATTAACTAGTAAAATATTAACTTAAAAATATTTCAAAATGTTTGAATTACAAAGTTGATTAGGGAATTACAGTCTTCACTCTTTCTCTCCAACTTATAAATAATAATTCTTAATAAACAATAAACACTTATTGGTATCATCGTAAATAAAGAATAAAAGAGCTAGGCTTGAATATAAATAATTGCTAAGATCTTTTTTTATAAATTATAAATAACTATTAAAAATAAATAAATATTTGATAAAATTGGCTGCAAATAAATATCTTAAACTTGAAATCTGCTTTGTAATGCTATTAATACCATATCAAAACTGATGAATGGATGGATAGATTGATTGATGAACAAAAAGAAATTTTGTTTCATATTTTTAATGGTTTGAATTTATTTTTAGCCAGAGTTTGTTTATTTATTTTAATTTTAAAAAATGAATAATAATATCATTAAGTAAATACTTTTGCAATTATCAAACAAAATATTTCGAGCATGATAATTCTACATTTAATTCTGTTTTTTTAACATGAATAAAGTGTTAATCTATAAGAACTGCGGACTATGCTTATTATATCGTATGCAAAGAATAGAACCATAGGAATAGCATAAGAGATCTTGAACAAAAATACAGTTGTCATCAAAAAGGAAAAAAGACAGATCATAACTTAGTGATAAACTAATTCAAAATAATGCACAAACGTTCTGTATTCCCATTCTTGGTTATAAATTTAATTAACAAATGTATTTTCATGGAAAACTGATAGATTTTCTGAATACTGTAAGCTCGCAATCCTATTAGGTCTATTTTGACTATTATTCTACTATTATGATAAACTTCTCTAATATGAGTTATTCCTACTATAATTTGATCCATTCCCATTTTATATACCTACTCCTAAGACTCCACTAATTCTATTAGAAGCAAGTGATCTTTAATTTCTTCCAACATTAAGAGGCAACTCTGATCCTCTTTCCGAATTCAAAACTATTTTATTTTATATTCTAAATATCGATTCTCAATAAAAAACCTATTTAATACCACTTCCTGCTCTATTTCCATTTCTCGCTGAGTTAGCACCTTAACTCCTGTTTGAGGAAATCGATTGCGATCCTGCTACTTAATTTCTTCTTTAATCGCTTTATTAATTCCTTTAATTTAACTAATTTTGTTGATCCTGTGATTAACGACTTTAAGATGACAATGAAGATATTTATGAGTTCATGCCAACTCCTCTTGCGCCTTTTTGATTAATTTATTATTCAAAATAGTTTTTTAAGCTTCAAATATATGTACTTCTTGGCTAAATAGGCACAACTTAAGCATTCATTTAACTTTATAACTAACAAAATATTTGAGTTGATCTAATTTTTACTTTTATAAAATGAATTTTTCTATAAGTAAATTTCCTTTGCTCTTTATCTATGATAAAACTGAGTTGATAAAGTTGCTAATTTAATTAATTTAAAATTTTTAGAATTGAAAGTGATTGCAAAAAGAATTACTTGTAATATAAATTAAAACAAAATAAATATTAATCTTTATTAATGTTTATTATATGTTATTTAAAGTGTTTTAAATATCATTTAAACAAACAAGTAAGACAGACCTCTTCAAACAAAGAAGTAAATCTAACACTCAATTTATTAAATGATATCAGGTTAAAAGCACTCAATTTCAAATTACATTTCTCATTTGATATTTCATCAACCCATTAGAAAAAATAGTAATTTCGCAATATTTTATTTCTCAAAGTAGCTTTTTTTTCAAATATCTTTGATATATTTAACTCATGGTTTTGGTAACGAGTTATAAATCAATCGATGGATCGAACTAATTTTCATAGCTTAAAATTAAAATTAAAATATGATTTTTTCGTTAAAATACTTTCATTCATTATTAATCCTAAACATAATTTAAAGTTTTTGGGAAAATTCAGTTAACATTTCTTAAATTTCTTAAAACCTTTAAAAGAAAACCAAAATTTGTTCCAATAAAAAAATATTTAATTTTTTAACTTATTCTAAACAATTTCAATTTATAAAATTAAAATTGATATAAATTCTTTGTAAAAATATAAAAGAAAAGAAATAATTTTTTGAAAATATTTTATTTTAACAAGATTTAGTTTTATTTTATTAATGATTTGTTAGATAATTAAATAATAAAATGTGTATAAAATAGCTGAAATGTGTTAATTATAAAAAAGAAGAAAGAATTTACTTTAGTTTTAATTGGTGATTTACTGCTTAGTGTTAAAAACCAAATGAATTAATTAAAAATAGAATAATAATAATAATAAATTATAAGATTGTGACTAGTTCACGATGATTGCTTTGAATATTTATTAATTATGTTTTTTCTGCTTGGATATTATATGTTTGTTTGTATATTAATTTAAAAATCTATATTTATTTTGCAAATTGATTAAAAAAGCATATTAATAAAAGTAATTTTTGTCTCGCTAGATAAGAAAATGAGCAATAAGATTGTAAATATTAGCATTAAAAAACCAATTTTATATTCTAAAATATTTTAATTCAAATAGGTTAAGTTACCCCCTGAGGTTAATAGAGTAGTTTATGTTAGAAATCTACCATATAAAATATCAGCAGAAGAATTATATGATGTTTTTGGAACTTATGGTCCAATTAGATAAATAAGAAAGTAAATAAATTATTTTTATTCAAATTGAAAATAGCTAATTATTTTATCAATATTCAATAGGGGAGTTAGTGGTGATAAAAAAGGAACAGCATTTGTAGTTTATGAAGATATTTTTGATGCAAAGACTGCAGTTGAACATTTAAATGGTTTTAATGTTGCAGGCAGATATTTAATTGTTTTATATTATCAACCTCATAAAATCAACAAAAAGACTGATTTACAAAAGAAATAAGAAGAAGTTGATCGTTTAAAAGAAATAGCAAGCAAATAAACTTAATAGTGAGAGTATTACATAAATAGTCTGGCTATTCATTTTATAATACTGTAAATATTTGTTAAATTAAATATCAATTTTAGGGATTAAATATATTGCGTCTAATTAACTATTATTTAAAGTCTCTTTGATTATTCAATCAATTCAAAAATTTATTCACAGTATCATAAAAAAAACCAATGATTGCTCAATAAATATTTTAAAATTACCTCAAAACTTAAAACTGAAAAAAATAATTTTATCAAAAAATAAAAATTCTTTATTTTAGTAAAAACATTTTAAAATAAAAAATTTATTTGTAATAAATTAAAAGAATTATATCAAAAAGTTGTTTGTTTTTTATATAAGCATTAAAAATCGAAGTCAAAATAGGCATATATATATGATACAAAAATTTTATATTTTAAACCAAGAAATTATCTTTGAAATGCATAAAAATATTTTAGAAAATTCTTTATGCTGAAATTGCTTATTTGTTAAATGAAAATAATTTTAAATTCATTCCATAAAATGTGAATTTGCTATTTTATAAATTGTTTATTGTGTTCAAACAAATATTTTGAAATTAAAGATTATTCATTTAATCATAGAATATGATATAAGCTTAAACTTAAATAACATTTTATATTTATAATGAAATTTAATTATTTTCACTTTTAATATTTGTTGATTGTTAACAATTTCTAAAAAAACAAATACTTTAAATCATATTCTATATGAAAACAATTAAACCAGTTAAATTCCTCAAATATTCAAATATGAGTTGATATTTTTTAATTATTTGCTTTTTTTAATTTTAATATTTAAGAATAATTTTTAAAAGAGATAGTTTGAATGATAAAAATTACATATTTTAGCACTGAATATTATTTCGATTCAAAATCTATTATTAATTAATTGCTATTCTATTAAAATTTATAAAAATAATTTCCAATTCTATAATTTTATTAAATGTAATAATAGCAAAAGATTAAAAAAATTACTCATAAATTTATTAAATTTTGAACTATAAAAAAATATTTTTACTTTTTTTAATTAAGGTATTATGTATGTTAGTTAGTTAGTTGTTATATTTAGAAATTGTGTGGCTGGCTAACCTAAACCATTTTTATAATTTTTAATTTGATCAGATTTTAATTGATGATTATGATTTGTTGATTGAAGAAAAAGAATCAGATTATTAAATTGATATTAAAGATTTTTAATTATATCAAAAATTTATGATAACTATTTTGAATTATAATTTTTATTGTAAGATATTATTAGAAAATTTATTATAATCTATTCAAATCATAGAAAATAGATTTACAAATTAATATAAATGGTAGATACATAGAAGACTATTGATTGGGTAGAATAACATTGGACTAAAAGCATATTACCTACTCTAGAAGATTTTATTAGGATACCTAATTAAAGCAGGGCATTTGATCCTGAGTGGAACTCAAACGGACTACAGGATCAGGCAGCTAATTTACTTTTAGAATGGGCAAAAGCATAAAATTTAGAAGGAGCAAAATATGAAATTATTAAAGACGAAGATAAATCTCCTATTATACTTATTGAAGTAGAAGGTACAATTTCAGATACTAAAACTGTTCTTTTTTATGGTCATTTTGATAAGCAACCTCCATTTACTGGATGGAGTGACGGTTTAGCGTTTAACAAACCAGTAGTTATTGATGACAAACTTTATGGAAGAGGAAGTGTAGATGATGGCTATAGCATTTTTGGAGCTGTCTCTTCTATTAAGATTTGTTAAGAGCAAAAAATACCTATCCCAAGATGCGTTATATTAATAGAAGGAGACGAAGAGTCAGGATCCCTTCATTTAACTTAATATTTAGAAAAACTAAATGGCAGAATTGGAGAACCTTCATTAGTTTTTTGTTTAGATTCAGGGACTCTTAATTATGATCAATTTTGGGTTACTAGTTCTTTAAGAGGATGCTTGCAAGTAACTGTTAATGTTAAAATTTTAAATGAAGGAGTTCACAGTGGAGATGCTAGCGGTATTGTTCCTTGCAGTTTTAGAGTATTAAGATAGCTTATTAATAGAATTGAAAATGAGGAAACAGGAGAAGTTGATGAAGGATTTTAAGTAGTTGTTCCTGCTGACAGATACTTGGAAGCAACTAATTTAACAGAAAAAATAGGTATCAAGTTGATTTAAAGATTTCCATTAACTAATCAAATGTAATTTACTACAAATAATGTCTTTTAAGCTTATATTAATAATACTTGGAAAGCCACTTTATGTACTGTTGGAGCTGATGGATTTCCACAAACATAGAATGCAGGGAACGTTTTAAGGCCAGAAACTACTTTAAAGCTTTCAATTAGGCTTCCACCTACTTTAAACGTTAAAGATGCAAAATAAAGATTTATGAAGCTCTTTACAGAAAATGTTCCTTATAATGCATAAGTAACTATTCTAAATATCACTGGAATGCCTGGCTGGAATTGCCCTCCAATAGATTCTTATTTATAAAAAAGTATTTAAAAAGCCAGTTTAGATTATTACAAATAAGATGCTTTGTACATGAGCGGTGGAGGAACTATCCCTCTAATGGGAATTTTGACTAAATTATTCCCAAAAGCCTAATTTGTAGTCACAGGAGTTGGTGGACCAGGTTGTAATGCTCATGGACCAAACGAATTTCTACACATTCCTTTCACTAAAAAAATAATTTGTTCTATAGCTTCTATCTTGTCTGACCTGCACAATCATTTTAAAAACTGAAAAAAATGAATAAATATAATTATTGTAATTTAGCTACATTTGGTATCATCAAACAATATTTTTTACATAACCTAGCACAATAAAAAGAAAATTTTTACTTAAAAGTTATCAATAAAATAATTAATTAAAAGTAAATAAAGCCTTATATGTTCAATATATAAAAATATATTTATTTTTTACATATTGTACTTCCAGGTATTAAATTCTTATGGATGTAGAAAATAAGTAATTTAATTACTGGATTTGCTATATTTATTTTAAAATTTGTAATTAATTTCAGATATTAAATTTTAAATTTATATTAAATTTATATTTAAAAATATATTATAAATATGTTTAATATTTTAAAAGAAAATATTTATTAATTATTTAACAATCAAATTTGGAAATTAATGAGAAAATAATTGATTAAAAATATTCCTTCTTAATGATTGAATATACAAAGTATATCCAAGCAATACTTTTCCTTTTATGTTTTAAAAATTAATAAGTTATTTTTTAACGTTTACAAAACATATTTTTGAGTTAATAATGAATATCTAAAACATAATTTAATTATTTTTATAAATTTTAATATATAAATAATTGATTTATTGATTGATTAATTAATTAGTTAATTAGTGGTTAATCAAATAGTAAAACAAACTTAATTGTTGTTTAATAATACAATCAGTCAATAAATAATTACTAGAATTAATGAAAAAGGTATAAAACCCAATTAAATTTGATTCAGATGATACTGAGGGATCAGACCTCTCTTATGAGAGCTCGTTTGACGAAAAGGAAGATAACTAAGGCATTAACAGTAAGCAAAATTATCATTTAGATTATTTTTCCCTCCAAAAGAATGTTTGATTGATTCTAATTAATAAAATGAATGAATTGAGAAAATAAAATATGAAAGTTTCAATTTAAATATAAATTATTACAATTATTTATAAAAAGAGGAACAAAAGAATATAAATCTATTCAAAGAGCAAATGGTGAGATTTCTTCTCACTCACCCTGAATTGTAGGACGATATAAAATTTAGCAAAGATATTATTAATGCATAAGCAGAAACTCCTGTAGCGTAGGTAAAAAATGATCAAATGGGAGGTGGATATTCCAGCACGGGTTATAATACTATGTATAATGCAAGACCTCAAACAGCAGTAGTTATGGGAAATACTAATGATGTTAATTTGAATAGCGATAAAAAAACTTACAGAAATAACATGTGGGAAACAATCGCTAATAATATAATGCAAGAAAGTAAGAAAACTGGAACAATGCCTTCGATAGAGAACTTTTCTTAGAGATTAAATTTATTCAGAAAGAAGATAGAGAAACCTGATGTTATTGAAATTATTTTATAAAATAAAGACACACTTTTGAAATAAATTAAAAAAGAAGAAGAGAGGAAGGCTAAAATTTAAAATAGAATACATGAAACTATAGAGGCTAAACTTAGAAAAGAATAGGGTGATGTTAAATATTATTCTAAGCTTAAAAAGAATCAATTCGATTCTCGTATGCAAAAAGAAGAAGCTAGAGTTAGATAAATCAATAATAATCAAAACCAAACATAAAATTAAAATAACCCTTCAAATAACATAAATTCTACATCAAATTTTAATTCAAATACAAATCTAAATAATGCATTTTAATCTGATAAATCTCCTGAAAAAAGAAATTCTGTTGCTTTTATTCAACAAGCTAATTTAAATGCTAATTAGCAAGGCGGCTAACTCTAATAGTAGGGAGACAACCAAGAAAGAAAGCTAAAGCAACAAAGAAGTTTTCTATTAAATTAATAAAATTTAGCAAATCCTTAGACCTAATCAGCTACAAAATTAATTCAATTACAAAACCCCAATGCGAGTCAGAATCAAAACAACGTTTCTGTGATGGGAATGTAAAATGCATAGACAAATTAATAAAATCAAAAGAATCAAAAAAATATTAGATTTTAAACTCCTCCAAACTAGTATAGCCCTTCACCAAATTAACGAGATCTAGAAAATAGAAGCTCTAAGCTGAAAAATCCTATAATCTAAAACAACAATACTTATAAAAAGAATATACAATAAGAATACTAAAAATAATTCAAAACTTTCAAAGCTCGTCCAGTTCCTGGTGTTTTCGAAAGATTGAGTTAGGATTCTGTTAAAAAAAATTAATAAACAGAGGTTGAAATTGATATACCTATAGATATAGAGTTTAAGACTGCAAAAGGAGAAATGCTTTATCGTGATATCAGGAAGAAAGATGATGAAGAGGAAGTAAAAAGATATGTAATTAAATTCTTATTAGAACACAGATAAAAGGCTGAAGAGGAATTTAAATAAAAACCTTCACTTTTGAGTCAAGGTTAAAAATATTATTCAGAAGAAAGCAAAGAATTCTCTCTGCTCTCGCCTAATTTTATGGCTAAAAAAAAAATGTAAGAAATGATTGAAAAAGGAACTTTAACTGATGATTTCTTTGAACACAGAGCTAACCTCGAAGAAGGAAATGCTTACTTATTAACAAAAGTAAGTAAAATATTAAAGGGTAATATTATGAAGAAGTGGAAAAGCATTTAAGATTCTAAATTTTGAAATAATTAATCAGCAAAAATATTTAAATTATTAAATACTAAAAAAATAATATCAATTAATTAAAATAATTTAAATTCATGAATGTATGTATGTATATTTGGGTAAAATAATTATTGTAATTAATTTGTGTGATTTCTAATAAAATCCACAAAAATAAAATACTTGCTAAATAGCTTGATAAAAAGATAAAAATTTAAATATATTTGAAGTAAAATTTCGATTGAAAAATAAATACTTTTCAATAAATTTTTGTTTGTGGAAATAAGCAATAAATAAACTTATAAATTAAAAATTTATAAAATTGATGTATTCATTCATTCATTATTTTGTGAAGAATATTGTTTGCATAATTTTGATAAACTTACATTTTAAAAAATATATTAATGCGATTTCTTTCTAAAAGTAAATTTATAAATTTATATTTGATAATTATTGTAATTTATTTGTGTGATTTCTAATAAAATCCACAATAATAACTTATTTGTTAAATAGCTTGGTAAAAAGATAAAATTTAAATATATTTGAAAGTAAAAATTTTTTGATTGAAAAAGAAATATTTTTCAATAAAACTTTGTGAAAATAAAAAATAAATAAACTTATAAATTAAAAATTTATAAAAATTGATGTATTCATTCATTCATTAATTATTTTGTGAATAATATTTTTTACATAATTTTGATAAACTTACATTTTAAAAATATATTAATGCTATTTCTTTCTAAAAGCAGATTTTTTAATTTATATTTGATAATTATAATAATTTATTTGCTCAAATTGTTATTCAATAAACATCTTTGAAAAATTATAAAAAAATAAATGATATAATAGAAAAAATATTTTAGCAATTTAAAAGAAGTAATTATTTATTTTTTTATTGATATTATTTAAATTAAATTTTATTAATAAAAAAAGTTTTTAAACTCTTCACTTTAATCTCACTAGGTTCTCCATATTTCTCTGAAGTATATTCTTTTATTATATTTCATTTTCAAGCTATTTACAATTTAATTTTTTTAATAGAAATTTTCATAGTTTTCATTCATTTTTATTTATTGAAATATTTTTTAAAATTGTTTTAATTTAATTTTTATTTTGATTATTAATTAATTAATTATTTATTTATTTTTTATTATTTGATATTTTTTTTTCATTTTTTCATACTTTTTATTTTTTCTTCATTATTTAAAAATGGAAAACTAATAGTACTTATTTCATTTTTTGTTTTTTCTGTTTGTGTTTTTTTCTTTCTTTCTTTGTTCATTAAACTTATTTTTTCATTTTCAACTTTTGCTTTAATTATGATTGATTGATTTATTAATTCATTTTTTATTATTTTATATTTTTAATTTATTTTTTAATTCTGAATAACACTTATTAACAAACAATATATTTTTTCTTCAATTTTTAAATAGTTTAAATTAAATTCGAGCAATAGGTGTATCAGGTTTTTGTTCTGGTTTGGGAAAATGCACTAATCTCTCAAATTTGACACTTGATCTACAGTAAAATGTTTTTTTGTTTTGGATATTGATATTTTTTAATATAAAAATGAATTTAAAACAATAGAATTTTATTTGATTTATTTTTCTTTCTTTTTTATTTTGCTTTTTTTTTTCTTTGTTAATTTAGCTCATTTTTTTGATTTCAAATTTTACTTTTATTATTAATTAACTCATTTGTTAATATTTCATATTTATTTTTTCTTGATTTTTTCCTTTTAACTAACTAACTAACTATACTTTTTCTTCAATATTAAAAAAGGTCTAATTTAATTGATGATGAAGGTGCATCATGCTTAAGTTTTGCTTTAGCATACTGCACTAATCTCTCAAATTTAAGCCTTGATCTTGCGTAAAAAGTTATATTTTTTAATTTAAAAATGAGTTTAAAAAAAATAAAACTCTTTAAATTTATTTATTTGTTTTTATTATTTTGCTTGTGTTTTTTTTCATTCCTTGTTAATTTTACTCATTTTAAAATTTTGAGCTTTCTTTTGCTTTTATTATTAATTATTTAATTTTTTCTAAATTTTTACCTCAAACCAACTAATTAAATATTTTTTTTCTTTCTAATATTTAAAAAGGTCTAATTAAATTGGTGTAAGAGGAGCATATTGCTTAGGTTCTGCTTTAGCAAGCTGTACTAATCTCTCAAATTTCACACTAAATCTTATGTAAAAACAGTTTATTTGTTTTAAATTGTGAAATATTTCTTAATATAATAATGAATTTAAAATAATAAAACTAACCCTTTTAATTTATTTATTAGCTTTTTATTTGATTTATTTTTCCTATTTTTATTCTACTTGTATTTTTTTTTCATTCTTTGTTAATTTAAATCATTTTTTTATTTTTATCATCTGTCTAATTAATTAATGAATTCCTTTATTTCATATTTTTTCTTCTTTTTTTCTTCAAATTAACTATATCTTTATTCATCAAAAATAAAAAGGTGTAATTAAATTGGCGACGAAGGTGCATCAGGCTTAGGTTCTGGTTTAGCAAACTGTACTTATCTCTCAAATTTGACACTAGATCTTAGGTAAAATATGTTTATTTGTTTTGATTTTGATTTTATTGAAAATAAAAATGAATTTAAAACAATTTTTTTTTTCAATATTTAAAAAGAGTAAATTAAATTGGTGACAAAGGTATGTAAGGCTTAGGGTCTAGTTTAGCAAATTGCGCTAATCTCTCAAATTTGACACTTAATTTTCAGTAAAAATAAACAGTTTATTTATTTTGGATTTTTATATTTTTAATAAAAAAGAATTTAAAACAATATTACTAACTCCTATAATTTATTTATGAGCTCTTTATTTGATTTGTTTTTATATTTTATATGTGTTTCTTTTCTTTCTTCGTTAATTTAACTAATTTTCTTATTTTCAACTTTTTCTATTATTAGTAATATCATTTAATATTATCTTCTTCATTTTTTAATTCTAATTAACTAATTGTCTGTATAATTTTACTTAAATATTTTAAAAGGTCTAATTACATTGGTGCAATTGGTGTGACAGACTTAGGTTCTTCTTTAGCAAGCTGCACTAATCTGTCAAATTTGACGCTTTATCTTGCGTAAAAACAATTAATTTGTTTTGAAAATGAATTTAAACAAAAAAACTCTTTTAATTTATTTATTTATTAGTTCTTTATTTGATTTATTTTTCTTTTTTTTACTCTACTTTTATTTTTTTTCTTTCTTAATTTAACTAATTTAAAATTTTTAAATTTATTTTACTTTAATATTAATTAATTAATTTCTTATTATTTCATATTTTTTCTTTCATTTCAAACTAACTAATTAAATCCTTTTTATTCAATATTTAAAAAGGTAAAATTAAATTGGTGATGAAGGTACATCTGGCTTAGGTTATGCCTTAGCAAACTGCACTAATCTTTCAAATTTGATACTTGATCTTCGGTAAAAAAGTTTATTTGTTTTGGATTATGATATTTTTTAATATAAAAATGAACTTAAAAAAAATAGATTTTTATTTTACTTTACTTATTATTCTTTTTTTTATTATGTTTGAGCTTTTTTTCTTTGTTTGTTAATTTACTCATTTATTTTCTAATTAATTTTTAACTTTTCATTTATAACTAACCATTTTTATTTATCTTTTTATTTTCTTCATTTTTACCTTCTAACTAGCAAGCAAAATGATTGGCTAACTATATTTTTCTTCAACATTTAAAAAGTTTAAATTAAATTGGTGGAGTTGGAGCATCAGAATTAGGTTCTACTTTAACAAACTACATTAATCTCTCAAATTTCGAGCTTTATCTTAGGTAAAAACAGTCTATTTGTTTTGGATTGTAATATTTTTGAATTTAAAACAAAAAAATAAACTCTCTTCATTTATTTATTAAATATTTCTTTGATTTATTTTTCTATTTTTTATTTAGTTTGTATTTTTTTGTTTATTTAATTCATTATTTCATTTTCAAATTTTTTATTTATTTTAAATTTATTAAATTACTAAGATTTAATGTTTTCTCTTCATTATTTCCTTAAACGAATGAACTTTATATTTTCTCTACAATATTTAAAAAGATTAAATTCTATTGGTGATCAAGGTGCATTCGGCTTAGTCTCTGCTTTAGTAAATTGCACTAATCTCTCAAATTTGACACTTGATCTTAGGTAAATACATTTATTTATTTATTTATTTATCTATTTATTTATTTTAGATTGTGATATTTTTAATGTAAAAATTAATATAAAAATATAAATTTGCTTTTTAATTTATTAGCTTTATTTGATTTATTTTGTTTTTTTGATTTTGCTTATGTTTTTGTTTTCTTTCTTTGTTAATTTAACTCATTTTTTTATTTTCAATATTTTCATTTATTATTAATTAATTAATTTCTAATTATTTCATATTTTTTCTTCATTTTTTCCTTTATATTTTTTCTAAATATTTTAAAAAGGTTGAATTAAATTGGTGCAATTGGTGCATCAGGCTTAGGTTCTGCTCTTGCAAATTGCACTAATCTCTCAAATTTGACACTTTATCTTGGGTAAAAATAGTTTATTTATTGTGATTTTGATATTATTGAATTTAAAAATAAATTCAAAACAATAAAACAAACTCTTTTAATTTATTTTTTTATTAGCTTTTTATTTGATTTATTTTTGTTTTTTTTAAAATTCTGCTTGTATTTTTTTCTTTTTTTCTTATTAATTTAACTTATTTATAAGTTTAAAATTTTAATTTTATTATTATTTATTTAATTCATTTCTTATTATTTCATATTTATTTTTCTTCATTTTTTCCTTCTAGCTAATTATTTATTTTTTCTTCGATGTTTAAAAAGATCTAATTAAATTCGTGATGAAGGTACATAAGGCTTAGGTTCTGGTTTAGCAAACTGCACTAATCTCACAAATTTAAGTCTTGTTCTTGAGTAAAAACAGTTTATTTGTTTTGAATTGTGATATTTTTGAAAATAAAAATGAATTTAAAACATATAATATAACTAACTCTTTTAATTTATTTATTGATAAGCTATTTATTTGATTATTTTTCTTGAATTTTTTATTTTATTTCTTTGTTAATTTAACTAATTTTTAACTTTAGTTTTATTATTAATAAATTTATTTCTTATTATTTAATATTTTTTCTTCATTATTTACTATTACTAACTAATTAGCAATATATTTTTTCGTAAATATTTTAAAAGGTCTAATTATATTAGCGCAATTGGTGCATCAGGATTAGGTTCTCTTTTATCAAACTGCACTAATCTCTCAAATTTGGTACTTAGTCTAGAGTAAAAATAGTTTATTTGTTTTGGATTATGATGTTTTTGAATATAAAAATGAATTTAAAACAATTTTACTAACTTATTCTTTTAATTTATTTATTAGCTTTTTATTTGATTTATTTTTATTTTTATTTATTCATTTAAAAGATAATATTTTATTTTTTTATTTTAGTCTATTTAATTTTTTAGTAATTCACATTAATTTATGTTAAAAGTGCAAATATAATCAACGAATCATAATAATTGAAAGTAAAAAGTAAGTTTCTCAAATTAAAAAGATTAATTTTGTTTATAATAAATTTCTGATTATTATAAACGTCTGTCTCGTGAAAAAGGATGAATAAGTTTAAAAATATTTGAATAATATAATATAATATAATTTAATATAGCATGAAAGCGCGGATTAATTTGGAGTCAGAGAATGTGGGGTAAAAAAAATGAATAAGAATAATAATTTTTAATAATTTTCCCTTAATTAATAGAATTTTTTCAAATATGAATAGCTGTCCATCTCTAATTCCTACTATAAATAAATATATTTTTTAAATAAAAATATTAAGATTAAATAATTAATGCTAAATTAATTTTTATGTGGTATTTTCGTAAAAGAAAATTTATAAATTAATATTTGATAATTAATTAATTATTATATTTTATTTGTTCTTTTTATCCATTTATAATTAATTAATTAAATTCCTTAAATTTCTATTCAATATTTTTGAAAAAAAATAAATGATATAATAGATTTAAGAATATTACAAATTAGAAGAAGTAATTATTAATTTTTTTATTAATATCCTTTAAATTGATATCTTTTAATAAAAAAAGTTTTTAAACTCTTCACTTTTATCTCATTAGATTCTCCATATTGATCTGACGTATATTTATTTTATAAATATTATTTTTATTTTATTAATACTTTTTATGTATTTAACTTTCAATTTATTTAAAGAAATTTTTTTCTAATAGAAATTCTAATCATTATTCATTGATTTTTATTAAAACAAAAATTTTTTAGCTATTTTTACTTAATTTTCATTTCAATTTTTAATTAATTATTATTTTTTTTGTTTTTTCATTTTTCGTTATTAATATTTATTTATACTTGATAAAAACAGTTCATTTATTTTGGATTGTAACAATTTTAATAAAAAAAATTAATTTAAAACATTAAAGATCTTTTTATTTATTTTCCTTTTCTTTTAATTGTGCTTTTTTTTTTTCTTTTTTATTTATTAATTTAACTCCCTCATCATTTTATTTTCATCTTTTGCTTTTATTATTAATTAATTAATCTTATTATTTCATATTTTTTCTTCATTTTTTCTTATAATTCATTGTTTAATTATATATTTTTTCTTCAATATTTAAAAAGTTCAGATGAAATTGGTGCAATGGGTGCATCACGGTTAGGTCTTGCTTTAAAAAATTGCATTAATCTCTCAAGTTTGGCTCTTTATGTTGGGTAAAAATAGTATATTTGTTTTGGATTGTGATATTTTTAACAAAAAAACTAATTTAAAATAATTAAGCTCTTTTTTCTTTTTCTTTATATTGTCTTTACTTTGCTAATTAAACTCTCTCATCATTTTAATTAATTAATCTTATTATTTCATATTTTTTCTTAATTTTTTCCTTCTAATTAACTATTTAATGATATATTTTTTCTTCAATATTTAAAAAGGTAGAATTATATTAGTGCAATAGATGCATCAGGCTTAGGTTTTGGTTTAGTAAATTGCATTAATCTCTCAGATTTAACACTTAAACTTAGGTAATAGCAGTTTATTAGTTTTGGATTGTGCTATTTTTTATTATAAAAACTAATTTAAAACAATTAAGCCTTTTTTCTTTTTATTGTGCTTGATGCTTTTTTTTTTTATTCCTTCTTTGTTAATTTAATTTAACATTTTATTTTCAACTTTTGCTTTTATTATTAATTAATTAATCATATTATTTCATATTTTTTCTTCATTTTTTCGTTCTAATTTACTATTTAATTTTATATTTTATCTTCATTTTTTAAAAAGTGACAAAAGAATTGGTGATGAAGGTGCATCAGGTTTAGGCTCTGGTTTAGCAAATTGCATTAATCTCTTAAATTTGACACTTAGCCTTGAGTAATAGCAGTTTATTGGTTTTAGATTGTCATAATTTTAATTATAAAAACTAATTTAAAACAATTAAGCTTTTTTCTTTTTCTTTTTATTGTGCTCGCTTTTTTTTGTTCTTTCTTTGTTAATTTAACTCATCATTATATTTTTAAATTTTTCTTTTACTATTAATTAATTAATCTTATTATTTCTTAGATTCTTTATTAAAAAAAAAATTCCCCCCCCCCCCCCAAAAAAAGTAAAACTCAGTTTTAATTAATTTATTAATAATCTATTAAAAATATATAAAAAAATTTTTTTGCTTAGCTTATATTTTTCTGTGTCAAGTATTAATAATAATAATTATTATTTCGTATTTTTTCTTCATTTTTTCCTTCCAATTAACTATTTAATTATATATTTTTTCTTCAATATTTAAAAAGTGAAAATAGAATTGGTGATGAAGGTGCATCAGGCTTAGGTTCTGGTATAGCAAATTGCATTAATCTCATAAATTTGACACTTGATCTTGAGTATTAGCAATTTATTGGTTTTGGATTGTCATAATTTTAATTTTAAAAAGTAATTTAAAACAATAAAGCTCTTTTTTTTTATTATTGTACTTGATTGCTTTTTATTCTCCTTTTTTAGCTAATTTAACTCATCATTTTATTTTAAACTTTTGCTTTTATTATTAATTTATTAATCTTATTAATTAATATTTTTTCTTCATTTTTTCCTTCTAATTAACTATTTAATTATATATTTCATCTTCAATATTTAAAAAGTTTCAATAGAATTGGTGATGAAGGGGCATCAGGCTTAGGTTATGGTATAGCAAATTGCATTAACCTCTCAAATTTGACACTTTACCTTTTGTAAAAACAGTTTATTTATTTTGGATTGTGATACTTTTAATTATAAAAACTAATTTAAAACAAATAAAGCTTTTTTTTCTTTTTATTGAGCTTGCTTACTTTTTTTTCTTCTTTCTTTGCTAATTTAACACAACATTTTATTTTCAGCTTTTGCTTTTTTTATTAATTAATTAATTTTATTATTTCATATTATTTCTTCATTTTTTCCTTCTAATTTACAATTTAATTATTTATTTTTTCTTCAATATTTAAAAAGTGTCAATACAATTGGTGATTAAGGTGGATAAGATTTAGGTTATGGTATAGCAAATTGCATTAATCTAACAAATTTGACACTTAATCTTAAGTAATAGCAGTTTATTTGTTTTTGATTGTGATATTTTTAAATATAATAGCTAATTTAAAATAATTAAGCCTTTTTTGTTTGTTTTCTTTTTATTATGCTTGCTTTTTTTTCTTCTTTCTTTGCTAATTTAACTCACCATTTTATTTTCAACTTTTGTTTTATTCTTAATTAAGTAATCTTATTTATTATTTCATATTTTTTCTTCATTTTTTCCTTCTAATTAACTATTTAATAATTTATTTTTTCTTCAATATTTAAAAAGTTACAATCAAATTGGTAGTAAAAGTGCATTAGGTTTACGTTCTGGTTCAGCAAATTGCATTAATCTCTCAAATTTGACACTTAACCTAGAGTAATAGCAGTTTATTGGTTTTGGATTGTCATAATTTTAACAATAAAAAGTAATTTAAAACAATAAAGCTCTTTTTTCTTTTTCTTTTTATTGTGCTTACTTGCTTTTTTTTCTACCTTCTTTGTTAATTTAACTCATCAATTTTTTTTCAACTTTTGATTTTTTTATTAATTTTATCATTTATATTTTTTCTTCATTTTTTCCTTCTAATTAACTATTTAATTATTTATTTTTTGTTCAATATTTAAAAAGTGGCAATTAAATTGATGATAAATGTGCATCAGATTTAGGTTCTGCTTTAGCAAATTACACTAATCTCTCAAATTTGACACTTAAACTTAGGTAATAGAAGTTTATTGTTTTGGGTTGTGCTATTTTTAACTATAAAAACTAATTTAAAACAATTAAGCTCTTTTTTATTCTTTTTCTTTTTATTGTGATTCTTGCTTTTTTTTCTTCTTTCTTTGTTAATTTAACTCATCATTTTATTTTCAACTTTTGCTTTAATTATTAATTAATTAATCTTATTTTTTCATATTTTTTCTTCATTTTTTCCTTCTAATTCACTATTTAATTAAATATTTTTTTTTCAATATTTAAAAAGTTCCAATTAAATTGGTGCTAAAGGTGCATCAGGTTTAGGTTCTGCTTTTGCAAATTGCATTAATCTCTCATATTTGACACTTAGCCTTGAGTAATAGCAGTTTATTGGTTTTGGATTGTGATATTTTTAATTATAAAAACTAATTTAAAAGAAAAAAGTTCTTTTTAGTTTTTCTTTCTATTGTGCTTGCTTTTTTTTTGTTCTTTTTTTGTTAATTTAACTCATCATTTTATTTTTAAATTTTACTTTTACTATTAATTAATGTTATTATTTCATATTTTTTCTTCATTTTTTCCTTCTAATTAACTTTTTAAATATTTTTTTTTCTTCAATATTTAAAAAGTGACAATTAAATTGATGAAGAAGGTGCTTTAGGCTTAGGTTCTGCTTTAGCAAATTGTATTAATCTCTCATATTTGATACTTAATCTTTGGTAATAGCAGTTTATTGGTTTTGGATTGTTTTAATTATTAAAATGAATAAAACAAAACAAAAAAACACTTTGAATTTATTTGTTTGATTTTATTTGATTTGTTTTTTATTATAATATTTATTTAAACTTTACACAAATTTATAATAAAAGTGATAACTAAATGAATCTATAATAAAAATTCAAGGCAAAAAGCGAGTGTCTTAAATCAAAAAGATTAGTTGTCTTCTAAGTATATTTCTGATGATAAACAAGTGTCATAAAAAAAATAAACAAATATTAAATATTTGAATAATTGAATATGATATTTTTTATTATATAAAATTTTGAAAATTTTTTTTTTTAACCTAAATATAGATACATTTTCAAAATTTAATCTAATTTTTTTTTAAGCTAAAAATTTGTCTAAATTTCTTTTAATTAAATAAATATTCATTAGTATGTATAGATAGATTGCCTATCCAAAATTAAAAAGGCATTTAACTCTATTTTGAAATAGGATTATTTATTCCTAAAATAGAGATAGATTTTATTCTTGTTTTTATATATTTGTATATTATTTTGTTATAAGTTAATAAAAGGACTTATAAAAAATAAATATGAAAATTTCTTTTTTGATTTTTAGTATAATTGAGTACCATAATTAATTATAAAAAAGTGTAACTTTTATTAAATTTTATAAAATGAATAGAAAATTAATTTTTGAGAGTTTCATTTTGAAATATCAAAATAGTATAATAAATAAATAAATTCCTTACTTAAATCATAATTGATCAAATAAAATTTATTTAACTGTAATAAATACTTAATTTATTTTAAACATAAAATTAACTTGATTAAAAATATGTGGTTGATAGATAGATAAGATATATTATGTAATCTAAGTTAAGATCTTTACAAATATTTATTTGCGCTAATTAATTTATTTATTTATTATACTTCTTAAGTTTTAATCATTTATTTACTAACAAAAATTAACTTACAAGATGACTGAGCTGAGTAAATTTTGATTTATATTAAGAGTATATTCAAGATTTTAAACCCGTATTATTTATATTGTATACACTTTATAGTAAGAAAGAAATTATAATTTTAACAAAGGATAATATTAAAATAAATGATAAATTACAGCCACTTTTATGAAAATAGAAAATAACAATTTTACATTTTATGGATGGATTACTTTTCATTTAAAATAATGAATAGCTCTGATGTAATGATAGGAACAAATACTTAAAATCTTTGAGGTTTTGAAGAGTTTTCAATTATATAAGGTTCTTTTTGTTTAATGTAAGTAATGATATTAGTTTAATTAGAATGGATATAATTTTAGAAACTAAGTGTTTGGAGCGCAACAAGAATATAATTATAAATTAATTAATTGATAGATTAATTGTAATCCAATTAATATTTATCTAAATATAACAACTTTAATTTATTTGTGAATACAAAAACTCTAAAGAAAATATAGAAGGAGCAAACACATTAAGAGAAAATAAATATTAATTACCAAAAAAGTAAGTAGAATCATAATAGGATAAATAGGATTTTAGCAGAATTAAAAGCTTCATCAAACAAATTATTTTTACTGCTAAATAGCTATGTATTTTGCAAAGGTTCTCAATGAAGATAAATGCGGAAAACTATATGTTAATCGTCGCCAATCCCTACAAACTACTTAGAATACTGAATAATCTAAAATGTATGGATAAGTAGAATAGCAAGACTTGAAAAGAGCAAAAAGATAAATTTTTAGAAGAAAAAGCTACGCAGACTGTGGTAAAGGCCTGTATAAGTCAAGTTATGTTTAAAAAGTTGATGCATTGTGCCCTATTTCGACTATTTCATAGCATGTAAAAATAGAATAGCAGCTAAAAGAAGAGATGAATTTTTCATCTTAATGCCAAAAATAAACTATGAGCACAGGAACCTTCCTCAAGTCAGTAAGGTTTACAGCAAAGATGAAAAGAAGTAATTTATTTAGAAAACAAACTGTTATTAATTATATTAAAAAATAATAATTTAGCAAGAATTTTGAATAAGCATCGAGGATCTCAGTTTAACATAAATGTCAATTTGAACGAGTAAGACTTTTTTTGGAGAAAATATATAAATAAGATATTTACAAGCGAAATACATACATAAATACTTTTATAATAAACAAACTTCCTCAGTATTAAATTTTGTATGGAATTCAATGAGCTTTTTTGCTCAAACTCTTTTGAGTAATATGAAAAATTTAGATGATTCTATCTAAATAAGTGAGTTCAAAATTTAGACCTGTTTAAAATATATTCACATAAGATAATTTTTTAAAAAATTACAAATTTATCTAATTAATATCAATTCATACCTCTAAATATAAAAAACTAGATTAGAATAGATCTTTTTTCGAATAAATTGGCAAATTTAGTTAGTCAATTGTAATTTACAAAAAAATATTTTAATCTCACTAAAACTTTTTAAACCTAAAAATAGTTTTTATAAATTTAAATGAGATTTACTTTATGTTTTTAGAAGTTTTCAAACTTCTTTATTAGATTTTTACAAACTTTTATAGATTTTTTAAATCAGTGCATCAAAAAAAGGTTTTTAGAACCACTTTAATTTAAATAGAGTGAGTGATTGATACTAATAAATTTTATTATAGAAGAAGGTTTTAAAATAACATCAATAATCAAGTTTTTTTAAAAATCACTGGTTATTTTTAATTTACCAAATTAAAAATTGATTATTTAAATAATAACTAAATAAATTACTGAAGTTCTATTAATAGTTGTCAGTAATATAAACTTTTTTTTTTGGTTCTAATAATAATACTGAAGTTTTTTTAACATAAAATAAATCTATTTATTTTCTTCTATTTAAAAGCGCAAATACAAGTTTAAAAATAATTTTAGGCTGATAAATTGTATTCATTATTTTGTTTGAATAAATTAGACTAAATATTGAAAAGTCTCCTTCTTAAAGGGGCTAATCTCATGGATTAGACACCCCAAGAAGAAGAGATGATTCTAGATAGAATTCTATTGTAAATACTCCTTCTTGGAAGACAGTAAATGGAATCTAGTCTCCTTTAGAAGATAAGGTATTAATTTAATAAATAAAATAAAATTATTTTTTTACAAATGTTTTATGTCAACTTATTTATATTTTTAATTATTCATGCTATTAAATATCACTAAAAATATAGAAAAATGGCAAAAAAAATCTGAAAAGTATGATGCTCATTAGTGATGGAAGCAAGCCATTGAGTTAGTTTTAAAGGAGTTAATCGAAAACAGTGGCTAAAAAAGAAGGAGAGCAAACACCAATAGATTAATAAATAAACTCTTCTAATTAAATAAAAGATAATTTAAAGCCATAAGAGAAAGAAGATCAATCAAATTCTTCGTTTTCAAATTCTTAAATGTCAAATAAACAATAAACTGAAGTTTGTATCCCAACATTATCAAATATAAATAGCTAATTTAATGTGAATTTTAATGGACTGAGACACCAAAACAGTATACAACTAAACAAAGAAGATGCAGATCCAAAGTCTTCTTCTATTTCTCAATTTTAAGATGAAGTCATTGAAACTTCTCTTACGAAAATTAATAAAAAGTATTCAGATGATTAAACTCCTGAGAAACAATTCGACAAGCTAGAAACCTTAAAGGAAGAGCATGCTCTAGAAGCTCTTGCTCATTAGCAGAGTATAAGAGAGCGAAAAAGATCTATTTCAGCTGATTCAGGAAGGGAGAAAAAAATAGGAAACAGCTAATTCTCTAAATTCGCAAATGAAGAAAACAAAGGAGATAGCAGCTAATAATTTAATCAAATTAGTTTAAAAATTCCTTTAATTTAAAAGATTGAGTTAGATAAATCGAACAAATTCACTCTAAAGAGACAGCTTAGCAATAGAGAAACTCCTAGCTCAAGTTTATATTCACAGAGTAATTTTGATGGAAGTAAACAAAGTTAACAAAAGTTTATGTACGTGACTAATTATTGGAGATTTGTTGAAAAAGTACATTCTAATTCTAATTAGATTCTGTAAAACATTTAAAATCAGAGAAGAGAATAAGCTTAATTGCTCAATTAATAATAAATTACCATTCCTTTTGTGCCTATTAAAAAGTTCCATAAAAAAATTAAAATAGACTTCGAGAATTAAGAATATTTCAAGACAACACTAACCTCTAGATTTAGCCAAGCTGAAAGCTAAGAAATTAATAAAGGTTACTTGAGCTCTCGATTATCTTCGCCTTTAAAATCTAACAGAAAATAAAATTCTAAGCTGTCTTTAAAAGGAGCCAAAACCTTTTAAAAACCTTAAACTTCAGAATAAGAATTAATTTAACAAAAATCAGGTTAAAGCCTTCTAAAAAACAAGCAATACAAGCAGAAAATTCCAAGTGGAGTTTTATTTTAAGATGACAACAGCCAGCAAAATCTAAAATTGCTATATTCTCCAAGACAAAATCATTATAGATCCGCTTCTCATGATGCATCTATACAAGACCATTAGAAAAAATAGTGGCTTGCTCCTTTATCATAGCATAACATAGGAGAGTAAATTAAAAAACATGAGTCATAATATTAACAAACTAACATAAAGAAATCAAGACAGTCTTCCCCTTTAAGTGGCAAAAAGAATAGCTTTAGCAGAACTTAAATGTATTTTGATAATTACTAAGTTTAAAAAGTAAATCAAAAGCAACTTGTTAACTCTTCAAAAAAACTTTGAGTATTTCAATATATTTACATTAATTTGTGAATAATAATTTCAAATCTAAATTTATAAATAAAATATGTTTTACTAAAATATAAAATTTTAATCAGAATTTATTAAATATTTACATTTAATTTTCAACTTTTACCTTCTTAAAAGTCAAATTTTTCTGTATTTAAATATAATTTATAACTTGTAATAAATTAAAAATTTTCATTTCAATAAAATTTTCTTGTTTTTTAATCTAATTTTATTTTTAGAAGAATATAAATAATACTATACTTCTGTTTATTTGTTTATTTGTTTGTTTGTTTGCTTGTTTAATTTTTGAGTGATTTGTATTTCTTACCTTATAAAAAATAATATAAAAAATTTAAACTACATTTTTAAGAGAGAGAACCTTTTATATTTTTTTTTTAAATTATCAAACCATTAAAACAATTATTAAGATAGAATAAAGAAAAATAATTTAAATCTTTTACAGATTAATTTGATTTTGAGTAATGAATAAGATAATTGTTTTTTATTTAAATCAGCTGATATTAGTGTAGATATTTACAGTGATAGTAATTAATATTAGTTATCAGAAAAATTACAATATTTTTTTAATTTTATTAAATTAAATTAATTCAATTTTTATTTAAATAATATTTGAGATAGTTATCAAATTTTTTTAAATAATAATTGATTAACTCTTTTATGAAAAATATTTGATTTATATTATAAATCTAGTTTGTTTGATAGAGTTAAAATATTTATTATTTAAGAAACAAAAGATTTTAATTTTAAATATTTTTTTGAATGATTAAAATTAAATTGTTTGGATAAAATAATTGAAGAAAATTATAAAAATAAAATTTTAAAATATCAAATAAAATAAACGAAAAGATATCCATTTTATTTGTAAGAATTAAGAAGATATTTTTAGTTAAAGCTTAAAAAATAAATAGACTAATGAAAAAAATAATTAAAAATTAAATACAAGAATATTAATTAATTAGGTTTAAGTTAGAAGTGTTTTAGTTTTTTATTTATCATAAATCTTTTTAAGATTTTTATTTTGTAAGTTTAGATGAGATCAGACTAAACTTTTTAAATGAAGAATATGTCTTAGGATTTCTATTTTACTTTAGATAATTGCCTTGTTTATAGATTTATTATTGATCGTCATAGTGAGACGATAAAAGATTACCAGAAACACCAGTATCTAGTATATAGTAACTATCTTAGCTTTTATCTAAAGAAGCAATCATCTTGTAATTACCTCCCCAAATACCTTTCCAAGAATCATTTTAGAAATCGAGAGCACTAACATGAACTGTGTATTTTGATCCTTTAGATTGATATGATCTTTCAAAAAGAGATTTCAGAGGAGTCTTCGAAAAGGGAATATGGATAAAATGATGCTAGTGAATCTCACCATAATACCATTTGTTCATATTTTCTCCTAGTTTTTCCTTTTAACAAATTTAACAAACAATAAATTAAAAAATTTTTAGAATTAATTTTTTTATTACCTTCAAGAAAAGATAGGCTTCATTTATAGATACAACAAAATTATAGATGCAATCTTTTCCTTTCAGAGTAGAGTTAGCATTTCTGCACCATTCTTCGTCTATATTTTTTCCTTCAGACCAATTTTGAATCTAATTTAATCTAAAATGATCAAATAAGAAGTGAACTGTAACTTTTAATCTAACTAGGATATCTTCTGAATACGAAAGTAGCAATTTTTTACTTAAAAAATAGTCGATTGCGTAGTAAACTGAAGCTCCAACTGATTTTTCTTCAGCATAGAAATCCCATTTTTCCAGTAATTTCATCATTTTATCGCATTCAGAAATTTAGTCAGGAGTGAGAATACTAATTAAAACATTGAATTTAATTTTTATTCTATTTTAAAATCAATCAAAATTACTCTCTCTTATTTTTATGATAGATATTCAAATAATGTCTGTGTATTTTTTGTGCATAACTATCCTTGACGTCTCTCTACATATTCATCACATGCTCAGGAGATATTTTTGTTCCGTTTCTAATATATTCTTCAATTATTTCTGTTATTCTTTTGCTTCTTGCTGTAGAAGCTACGTACAAAGACAAATTATTTAAAGTATTATCAGATGCAAATTTATTGTTTGCAGTAACAACATATCCTAAAATATTTAAAAAATTCTATTTTTCTTTTAGCTTTAATTTAATTTAAATTTACCTTTAGGAGGATCATATGAGCGAGGTTGTTCTTAAACAGTGTTGAATCTAATCCAATCATTCTTTGATTTAGTTCCATCTTGAATGAAAGCACCTTGATATGGGTTTGATCTAATTGGGTGCTTTCCCATGCCGAAGAATCCAATATGATTATCTACTGTAGCAAATGATAGAGCTTAAGTTGGTCCATCAATAAGATTAAGAGAATCTATCAATTCTTAAAAATTATCTAAATGGTAGAAATTGAAAATACCATCACATGTTTTATCATTGTCAATATATCCTATCCAAGCAAAAGAAACATTCATAGAATCCCTTTAGAGAATGGGTCCTCTGTGAGTTAATTTTACAGTCAAATTATAGGCTTAACCACTTTTGATATTAATTTATTCCTTAACAGTCTTTAATTTACGCCATTCATCATCTAGGAAATATTTATCTCCTTCATCATTTAACTTTTCTTGATACAAATCACTTGAATCTGTATACAGAGTTGTCATACCCCATGCAAAATAGTTAGTCTAACCACTAAGAATAGCTCCAATACCAGGCATTGACCCTCCAGAAACAGTTTATTCTTTACCATATTTTGTTTTAAAATGTAAAACTGCTTGAGCCCAAATTGCAGGTATTTGGTTATCCAAGTGAGGATCATTAGCGAGAATGGGTTTTCCTGTTGTTGTGTGATTTCCGTGGATAGCCCATCCATTTGAGCCTTTATTTTCACTCAAAAATTAAACAATTCCAGTCTTCATAATCAATTCTAGTTTTTCAACTGATAATGAGCTTCCAGCATCTTAATCTTCCTCTAAGTCTATCTTGGGCTATAAATATTTAAGCAAATAAAAAATAATTAAAATAAATTGATTGGATTTATCTAAAGAGGATAAGTAGATTTCTCTTTTATTAGAATATAAAAAATGATATTTATATTAATTACATCAAAAGGAGAATAAAGACCCATAAGTTTTAATTCTTCGTCAGTCATAATTGTTGTATTATCAAAGAGATATCTGTTTACCATCATTAATTTGACTACTTTTTTTCCAAATATTTTGATGAGCTTTTCTCTTATTAGTTCATAACTCCAATCTGAAGTAAGTTAGAAATTAAGCAACTTGACAAAGGACAAACTATCTACTACATCCCACTTTTCAAATTTATTTCCAGTGATGTAATATTCCAAAGGCAAAATTTTCATAGCATCAACACAATCATTAACACCATCTGCATAAGCTTGAATGGTTTCTAAAATATCCTTAGTCAAATTATCTCTCATTTTTTCAGCTGCTCTTCTAAATCCAAATTCTCTCATCATAATATCTGTATCTAATGTGCTATTACCAAAGAGTTCGCTCATTTTACCGCTAGCTATTCTTCTATACATATCCATATTCCACAACCTATCTTAGCAATGAACATGTCCTATTATTTATTATTAACCAAATCATAATTTAAATTGTTATTTTTGAATATTTGTATTTCTTACCTAATCCATAAAATGAGCTTTAGATACTCTCTGAAACAATATGAGGAATTGCAAATTCGTCTCTATATATGTTGATATCTCCATAATTTCTACTATGATATAGCTTTCCTTAGTAAGAAGGAATCCATAAATATGTAGCCAATACTAAGCCTACTACTAATAAAGCTATAGTTACCTAAATTATTTATCCTAATCTTTTAAATAATCCCATTCTTTAATACTTACTTTCTAATATATAAATAAATCTTTAGAATAAATCTTTTAGTGAAATTTGTAATTAATTTGTTTATCAATAACAATTTTAAGAAGATAGTACCCAATTAATTGTGATTATTGAATAACTAATCATAAGATTTTATTTAGTTTAATCAACAAGAAAATAAAAATGTAAACATGAGATTTATTTTCTGTATCCATTCAAAGATAGATAGTTAAGCAAATATTTTTCGTCAATTTTATCATGAATATCTTTAATAGCACAACATAAAAAAATTAAATGTAAAGTTTATGACATCATTTATATTTGTAAATGATATTTTTAAACATTTTTTCTAAAATACCAAAATTTATTTCATTAAAACAAAAAAATATAAATTCTTAAATAATTTAACTATAATTTGAGTAAAATATTTGATATCATCTTAAGTTTTACTCCCCAAAAAAAAAGTAGTAAAAAATTTATGAATTTTTACTAGAAATTTTTTAAATTTTTATTATCAAAGAATTTGTTGCATTATATTCTTTCTTCATTGATTTTTTAATTATTATTTTTTAGAATTAAAAAAATTAAATAACATTCAAAAAAGATGCTTTGTAAAAAATAAAAACTTTTTATTATTTGTAAATAGAAAAAAGGTAATGAAATCAATCAAAGTTTAGAAAATATTAATAGTGATCACACCTAAGAGAAAAAATTTACTTCTTTAGAAAATTATTTGATTCAAATGAATAGAGAAATGCTAAAATAATAGTAAGAAAATAATAATAAATATCTCAAAATGCAAGAAGAAATGCTCAAATAACAGTAAGAAAATAATAATAAATATCTAAAAATGCAAGAAGAAATGCTAAAATAATAGTAAGAAAATAATAATAAATATCTCAAAATGCAAGAAGAAATGCTCAAATAATAGAAATAAACCCAAGATTATTGGTAAGCAAATAACAATAAATTGCTAAAGATACTAGAAAATTAGCAATTAATACAAAATTGTTATGGCTAATTGTCTAATGATTTTGTTATTTTTAAGAAAGAGATTCAAGAGTAACTTGCTAGAATTAATAAAAAGCTCAATAAACTTGGATGATAAATGTATCACATTCACATTTAAGAAAATTATAGAAACACTAAAGAATAGCAACAAAAAAATTTCTAAAAAACCTAAATATATATATATAATAATAATTAACCTAAAAATGAATCTAATCTATCTAGTCAAATATAAACAAAATTTATTGAATGAAAATGAATTCTTGTTACCAAATTATCAAGTAAATTTATTTAATATTTTTAAACAAATCTATGAATAGCTGAAAGATAAATAAATATGTATTTTTAACAATATAAATTTTTTACAAAAGAATTTAACAAAAAAAATATGAAAAGTTTAGTTGATTTTTTTAATAATTAAATTGATAATAAAATATTTCATTTATATTGTTTTACTGTGTATTATATTCAGTAATGTTAAATATAAGAAAGATAGGCATATGAAGAGAACTAATCTCTTTTGTAATATAAGTATTAAATAATTTTTTCTATTGAATAAAATATTTTGATTATTTCTTAATTTTCAAAAACTAAAGTTTAATTTTCATTTCTTTCAATGAAGTTAGAACCTCTTTTATTAGAAAATATTAAAATTTAAATGTTTAATGTAGACAACAATTTACACAAGCTTTTAAATAGATCGTTTTAAAATATCTAAACTGAATCAGTTTGATATAATATTAATTTAAGGTTTAGTTAGCAATCATTTAATTTAGTCTATTTCACAGATTGTTATTCTAAATGCCCATAAAAGTTTTACTTTAATAAGTCAGATTTTCTTTATTTAGAGCAATTGAAATTATATTCACCAAACTTATAACTTATTGATTCAAATAAGAGTTAATTCAAAGCCTGCCTAATAAAATAATGAAAAGAATTATTTATTTCAATAGATTTTTATGTAGCTTCTATGTCAGACATTTCTTTGTTTTAAAATATTTAAATATCATTAATGATTTCTTATTTCATTTATTTATTTCTTTTAATTTCTATCTAATCTAAATTCGCTTAGATGTTAAGTATTTTATCTGATTAGTTATTTAATTTTTTTTCATTATCTATTGGTATTTTATTTTTTTTTATATTAGATGTTGTTTATTTGTTCACTTAAATATTTTCTTTTATCTAATTTTCTGAGCTGTTCTTTCTTGTTTTATTTTCATCTGAGTGTTTAATCAAAGTTTAGTCTGTATTTATTTATTACAATTAACTGCTTTATGAAGATTATAAGTTGCAAACATCATTTTGAAATATAGTTAAATTGTCTTCTAAAATATTTTTTTAGCTTTCATTTTAATTTTAAACATTAATAAGATAATTTTTTTAATCTGTAATGAAATGAAAACGTTAGCTGTTGTCTTTTGTTTTATTTAATTAAATGTTTTCTTAAAAGTCAATTTGTTGTTCCGTTAAAGAAATGCTTGAAGAATTAGATTCAAAGTATTCAAAGGAGTTATTATGCAAGATTGTATTCCTAGGATAAATAGCTTTATAAAATGTTAAAGGATCTTCGTGTTGAGTGTGTTAAGAGAGTATTTTTTATTTAAATATCTTATTTTGACTAATCAAATGATTTAATTAACTTAAAATACATTTTTTAATCGAATTTAATTAATTGATTTGTATCAGTGTCATAAATTATTATAAATAATTGATGTTCAGATAGCTCAAATAAACAGAAATTCTATCTTTATTTTCCACTAAAATTTCATCAACAATTCTTTTGTACAACTAAACTTGTTTTGCATGAAAATCTACAATATCGCCTCCAATGATTCCTTATTAATTAAATTATGTATTAATTCTCTCTATTTAACTTTGCATCTCAAAAGAAATTACAATTGTAATTTTTTTGTCTTTGTTAAATCTTTGCTGCTGTTCAATGATAGAGTTATCTTTTATTCCATATAAATCAAAAATATTTTTCAATTTATAGATTATCCTGTAAGGCATATTTGACATTAAGCATCTGCCTTTTTCCAAAAGACTTGTAAGAATATAGGCTGCCTTTTTATATTGCTTAGTAAATATAAGGTATTCAGCATAGTTAAACTAAATATATTCATATAGATTGTTTGCAGGTAAATTCAATAGTGAAAGTTTATTGTTTTTTTAATTGCTTAAATAAACTTTATTGGTGTAATTTGTTTCATTTATTTTAGAATGGTTGTGTTCAATATTTATTTTTTTTGGTGAATTATATTTTTAAGAGTTCGTGTCAGTTTGTTAAATATTTTTTTATATAAAAAAATGCTATGAAAAGCCTTAGTTTATTCTTTCAGAGAGAGGAACAAAATATGAGCTCTAATAACTATTATGATCTTAATTTAAAGGAGAATTTTTGTAATTTTAATTATTTTAACTTTAAGGAGAGTTTTTATAATTTTAAATTAAAGGATAATTTTTGTAATTTTAATAAGAATCAAATGTTTCCTTTCTAATTTCTTTTTTTATATTAAAATCATTTTAAATAATTTATTTTTCACTTGCTACCACATTTTATTAAATCAATGCTTATTTTTAGTTTGCTATTAAACCTTCTAATTTATTTTTTTCTTCAGATTCATTTTTTTAAGTTCTGTTTTGCTTTAGCTTTTCTTGCTGTACTTTTATTATTTGTTTAGATTTTTAAAATGTATATTCTGCTTTTTTAAATTTGAACATGCTAAAATTGCATTTAGAAAATATGCACTGACATATTGCTTGTATGCTTTCTGACGAAGGTAAATGAGAAGACAATTAAACTAGTTCTTTATTCAGCTATTTTATTTAAACCCAAAAATTGTATTAGTTTATTTAATTTTTATTTGAGTCCAATGTCTATTAAAAAACAATTAAAGCAGTAATGTAATTTAATTTTCTAAAAAATAAATTTTAAAGTAATTCTTAAAATTCTAAATATTCTTCTTCTCTTTCTTAATCAGATTTTTACTAGCTATTAACAACAGTTCTACAACAAGGATTTTCCTTTTTTAGTTTCTCATCAATCAGTAAATTGTCTAAGTAAAATAATTCTGCATTTGATAAGTAATCTTCTTTTAATATTTGACTATCAACTGTGCATCGATGGCTTTTTTTTTATTGTTTATTAGATTTGGCGATTCTTTGACTGCCAAATTGACTACGATTGCTTATTTATTTAACATTAGAATTATCTGTATGTTTATCAAACATTTAATTAATTGATACAGAAGATACCTTATTTATTATTGATTAATGTTAATTCATTTTATTTTCTTTGTTATCTTATAAAAAATCTTTAAAACAATATGGCTAAAGAATCTTAAGCAAATCAATATTATCAATTTTTTCACAAAATTCTTATATTTCGTATTTAGCATAAATAATTGATTGTTCAAAGTGCTCCAAAGACTAAAAATGATGTTACTAATTTAACAATATATTACCTATATTGTTATGAGCAATTCCTATTGCGTAGTAGTTTTTAAATTTTTTAAAAAAGTTAACTTTTTTACTCAAATCAATTAAAGTCTTTCCTTGATTCTCAATAAAAAAATGCTCAGTTAAATATTAAAGTTATTGAAATAAATCATAAAAAATCTTATAAAGCAGCTTGGTTTCATGAGATGGAAATATTTTATCTGAATTCTTTTCAAATTCAATAATTATTTCTTTCATATTGCTATATTTTTTAAGCATACTAATTTTTTTTAATATGCAAATAAGTTTAATTATTGGGTTATAAATCTATTTTTTAGTAAGATTCACAAACTAAAAAGTTACTATAATTAGAAATATGCCAATTATTATTATGAAGACCAAAGCTGGTATAAATAAAATACTTGAGAGTTTAATTAAAGAATCTGTTTTTGCTCTTAAATCTTCGTTTGAAATCATATTAATTTATAAGTACACATACTCTAACTACTACCCATTAGAATTAGAGTATTGACTGATATATTTTGGGATATCATCATATCCAATTACTGGATTAATGATGACTTTATAAACAGATGAATTCCTTTTATAGTCAAAAACTACTTAGAATTAGCTTTAATTTGCCATTTATTAAAAAGTTGTGAAATTACTTGAAGTACTAAAGACCCATTTGTTGTAATTTTCATTTATCATATTTTGAAAATATAATGATTGTTTTTAATCTTACAAATATTCCAACTCAACATTGAAAAAGTTATCTATTTAGTTGAACTAAAACTAATTATAATCTTTCTAAGAATTGTAAATTATAGATAAAGATCTAGGATCAATAATATAATATTATTTAGAAGATTTTATAATATTATCAAAATAATTTGATACATTCGAAAGCATCGCTTCAATGCATTACACATGATGGTTTTCAACTTTCTCTGTGACAGGATTATAAAACATCAATTTTTAGCATCCGAATTATGACATATAAGGAATGTTTTTACCATAAGATAAATTTGGCGAATTCATGTAAAATGAAGTTTAATTTAAACTATTCTAATACCAAAAACGATTTCTAGGATCATATTAATATTTTCCTTGTTAATTGTTTTGCTCAACTAAATTTGAAAGAGAAGTATTAGAATAAGCAGCGAAAAGAAATCCACCTTATTCTGAAGCATAAAATACAGATTAAAATGGAATCTTCTCAAAATTGTCGCTTCTTGCAGTCACAAAATTTTAATGTTCAATAGACTTGATGAGGAAATTCATTTTAGTATAATTCTAAATCAGCATTTTTCCAAAACTATCTAAATTATTCATGTGTGTTTCGTTTTGCTGATACCTATATAATAAAATTACTAAATTATTCAATTTGGATTACATTTTCTCTTATCAATAAATTAATTAGTGAATAAATTGATACATACTCGAATCAACTCATATCTAAAATTATTAATTAATTATTATTTTTATGGTAAATTTTGATGTCTATTTTATTTCAAATAAAGTAAAGTCAAATTTGATGCTAAATCCAACAAGGTGTATATATATTTTTTTATCAGTTAATATAATGCAAAGCATACCTAAACACATGATAAAACACTTTACTTGCATTTACTTAAAAAATAAATTCGGTTTTGAAAATTTAAACAAAGATGCATTTTCATTTTAAATTAAAGAAACTCTAATTGAGATAGTTTTTTGTATAAGTTTGAAGAAATGTAAAACAAAATCAATTAAGTTAAATTTATTTACCAACCATCAACTAAAAATGGATTTTTTTCAGCCATCTCAATTAATTCTTTATTTTCCTGCTGTAGATATACAAGTATGTAATTTACTAGAGCTGGACGATGTTTTGGATGATGTTTTACTTTGCCTTAAATGATTTTTTGCGAGAAAGAATTTATGATATTTAAGTAGAAAGGAAATTTATATATTTCTTTGCTCAAGCGATATGAGATATACTAAGTCGTTGAGGAGCTAATTTTCACTTGGTTCTGAAAGAGATTATCACAATATTAATTTATGTATATGTTTTTATAATAAAGAGCAGCCAGTTAGCTTGTAATAGCACTTAAAAATGCTAAAATAATTGGTATTATTATCAAGATAAAAAGTTTTGTTAGCATTTTTTAGCGTATATTTAGTTTTGTATGTTTTCTTTCTACTTTTTATTTGATATTTCTAAAAGCAAATTACGAACTTTTTATCAACTTTTGGTTTATTGATTAATTTATTATGATATTATCAAATCTTTTATTTATGAAAAACAAATATTCCGAATTAAGTAAATATTTGTAAAAACATACATAATTCTTCTATTAATTGTAATGATAAATATCTTTCTTTTATATTTTTGATTAATAATACTTTATATTTAAATAATGATCAACTATACTATTTAGATAATGTAATTAATGTAAGAAAATATTAGTTTGATTCATTTTCTAATTGTTAGTTATATCATTCAAGTGATTCATTCATTTTACTAAATCATTAAAAGCTAATATTTCAATAAAGTTTAATAAAAATAAATAGTTGAAATCATTAATTTATTTCAATACAAATATTTAGCAAATTTTAAACTAAATAATCAAATACAATTCAGAATAAATACATTCTTGAATTCAAAAACAATTTTTATCTGCTAAGTAATACTTTTCAAATTAATATATTAAATTTTATTTTAATAATATAAATATCTGTATTGAAATAAATTAGAAATTAATATGTTCTACTAATTTTTTTCAGCTTAACAAAATAGAAAAGCAAACAAAGAGAACTACCTCAATATTATATAAATAAAAAAGGATATTTTCAATTGAATAAAACTTTTAATAATTAAGAATCATTCTAAATTTTTCAGCTAAATATTAACTTAAAAAATATAGTATTTATAAATATAAAAACAATAATAAAATCTATCTATGTATCTATTTTTTAGGTTAAAAAAACGTTTTCAAAATATTCTATTATAAAATGTATAATATTCAATTATTCAAACATTTAATATTTATTCATCCTATTTTCGCCACTTGTTTATCATTAGAATTTTTTTTCAAAGACAACTAATCTTTTTGATTTAAGACACTTGCTTATTACTTTGAATTTTTATGATTCATTCATTTCGTTAGAACTTTTATAATAAATTTGTGTAAATTTTAAATAAAATAATATTAGTGGAATAAAAAAGATAATGAAAAAAATCAAATAAAAGCTAACAAATAAATTCAAAGTGCTTTTTTGTTTTATATTTTTTATAGTTAAAAATATCACAATCTAAAACAAATAAATTATTTTTACGTAAGGTCAAGTTTCAAATTTGAGAGATTAATGCAATTTGCTAAACCAGAACCTAAGCCTGATGCACTCATTGCACCAATTTTATTGCCACTATTTAAATATTGAAGAAAAAATATATAATAAAATAGTCAATTAGAAGGAAAAATGAAGAAAAAATATTAAATAATATGATTAATTAATTAAGAATAAAAGCAAAAGTTGAAAATAAAATCATGAGTTAAATTAACAAAGAAAGAACAAAAAAAGCAAGCAAGCACAATAAAAAGAAAAAGATAAAAGAGCTTTATTGTTTTAAATTAGCTTTATTTTTAAAAATATCACAATCCAAAACAAATAAACAGTTTTTACTAAAGATCAAGTGCCAAATTTGAGAGATTAATGCAAATTGCTAAACCAGAACCTAAGCCTGAAGCACCCATTGCACCAATATTATTCCTACTATTTAAATGTTAAAGAAAATATATATAATTAATTACTTAATTATAGAGAAAAAATGAAGAAGAAATATGAAATAATAAGATTAATTAATTAATAATAAAATCAAAAGTCGAAAATAAAATGATGAGTTAAATTAACAAAGAAAGAAGAAAAAAAGCAAGCAAGCACAATAAAAAGAAAAAAATAAAAGAGTTTTATTGTTTTAAATTAGTTTTTATATTTAAAAATATCACAATCAAGAACAAATAAACTGTTTTTACTAAAGATCAAGTGTCAAATTTGAGAGATTAATACAATTTGCTAAGCCATAACCTAAGCCTGATGCACCTTCATCGCCAATTTAATTCCAACTTTTTAAATATTGAAGAAAAAAATTAACAAAGAAAGAAAAAAAAAAGCAAGCAAGCACAATAAAAAGAAAAAAGAGCTTTATTGTTTTAAATTAAATTTTTTATTTAAAAATATCGCAATCCAAAACAAATAAACTGTTTTTACCCAAGGCCAAGTGTCAAATTTGAAAGATTAATGCAATTTGCTAAACCAGAACCTAAACCTGATGCACCCTTTGGGCAAATATTATTGCTACTTTTTAAATATTGAAGAAAAAATACATAATTAAATAGTTAATTTGAAGAAAAAATGAAGAAAATATATGAAATATTAAGATTAATTAATAATAAAAGCAAACGTTGAAAATAAAATGATGAGTTAAATTAACAAAAAATGGAAAAAAATAGCATGCAAAATAAAATAGAAAATAAATCAAACAAAGTTAAAATACAAAAAATATTAATAATAGTAAAAATAATTTTTATAAATTAAATATACGTCAGATCAATATGGAGAACCTAATGAGATAAAAGTGAAGAGCTTAAAAACTTATTTTATTTAAATTTAAAGAATATTAATAAAAAAATAAATAATTACTTCTTCTAATTCTTTGTAATATTTAATCTATTATATCATTTATTTTTTTTCAAAAATATTGAATAGAAATTTATGGAATTTAATTAATTATAAATGGATAAAAAGAAAAAAGAAAATTTAATAATTAATTAATTATCAAATATTAATTTATAAATTTGCTTTTATGAAGAGGTATTAAAGAAAAATTAATTTAACATTAATTATTTAATTTTAATATTTGTATTTAAAATATATACTTAAAAATTTAGTAGGAATTAGAGATGGGAAGTTAGTGATATTTGAAAAATTCTTGTAATTAAATTCACATTTCGGATTTAGGAAATCGAATATCCGAAATCCTAGATCATGAGAGTTTATGGTATAATTATCTAGATATTTTAATTAAAAAAAAATACTTTAACTAAAATTAAATAAATTCAAAAATATTTATTGGATTAAAAAGTTTTATTATATAATTAACAATAAATTTTTTTTTATACTAAATTAAATTTTTATAATTCAAAAGAGAAATTACATGAGTTAAAAAAAGAAAAATCTAAAAAATAGAAAATTAAGATATTTACTTTTATAAAATATATTGATTATTATTATGTTTTTTTTAATAATAATTTTTTGAAATTAATTAATATCATATTAAAAAAATGTCAGAAAATTTCAATTAATACCAGCTAAAGTAAGGAGTAAAAAATTTAGGGGAGATAGTTGGTCTTAATTATTAAGGAACTGCAAAAAATTGAAAATAAATAAATAATTCATTTTTATAAATCATCTATCATAAAAAAATACAGAATAAGCATTTAAGTAACAAGTTTCAATTTTATTTTGTATTTTATATTGAATAAAATATGATAATTTTTATATGTATCACAAGCTAATTTATTTGAAAGCTAATCTCTTAAATTTGAGGATCTGATAGGTTAATTTTGTTTTACCAACTTCACTTAATTAATTTTATCTTATTATTTATTAATTAATTAAAAATATACTAAATAAAATTAAGCATTTAAAAATAAATATATAAACTAATTAATTGTGAATAAAAAGTAAACTGCCAAATGAAAAAATATTTTTTGGTAATTTTTAATAAGTTATTTAATAAAGTAAAGAAGATATTTTTACTCAATTTCAAGCAATAAAGTTAAGATACTGGAGCAGTTTGCCAAACTTAAGACTAAATTTTAAGCACCTTGGTCACCAATTTAATTTTAGCTTTTATATAATATGTGTGTGTGTGTTACTTATTATGAAAAAACAGGTGACAAGAGTAAATTAAAATAATTAACTTAACTTAGGAATTATGTTATAAATGATAAAACCACAGAATTTTATAAAAAAATAATACAATAAAATATTATAAAATAAATATGCTTACCCTAAATACAATTTCAAATCGAAGAGAATGGTGCAATTTTCCAAAGCAGAACCTAAATTAGAAACACCCACATCGTCAATTTAATTCAAACTTATTATAAAAATTTTTAATTTAATAAGCTTATATGAAAATAAAGAGGATATTTATTTATCAATTTTAAAATTACAAATTGAAGTTATAATAAAATTTTGTATATCGACATTCATATCAAACTATTTTCTTTTCTTTAAAATTTAACAATTTTCGCTTTTCTGTTTATATTAAAATTAGTATAGATTTTAAAAATTCTTTGTAACATTTCTTTTTATTATTAACTATTTCTTAATTATTTTCTAAAAATACTAATATCAATATAAATTTATTAATGAGGAATAATCATTTTAACATATCTGCCCAAAATAAACTTTTTAGAGGATTTTTTGTGAAAATTTTTAATTTAATACTTTTGAATATTAATTATCACTTAGTTATAGGTTTCAAGTATATTAATTTTAATTAACAAAAACAAATCAAATAAACTCATTACCCTAAGATGATACTTAAACTTTGTAGATTAGAATAGCATGCCAGAGGTAAATCTTTTACACCTTATGTACCAATTTAACAGTTGCTTTTAATATTTTTGAATAGAAAAAAAAATTAGCAAAATCATGTTACAGTGAAATAAATTAAAATATGAAAGTTAGTTATAAAATTAGAACAAAAAAAAAACGTAAAACTAAAAATCAATTTAAAACCAAATAAAAATTTTTAGTTTTGATATTTAATTATAAAATAATCAAATAAATTAATTTACTAAAGCGCTAAAGTTAAATTTGATAGATTTGAACAGTTTCTAATAGATGTACTTAAGCTTTAAATACCAGTAGCACCAATTTAATTTCCACTTTTTATATATTCAAATTTATTTTAATATTATTTTCATTATAACAATCAAATTATTTTAAAATAAAATGTAATAAAAATGCAATATTAGCTATCAGACTTATTAAAAAAATAAAAATTTTAATATTAAAAACAAAATAATCTGAACAGAAGTAAAAATTATTTTACCCTAGGTCAATATTAAATGTTGACAGTTTTTTATACTTTAAGAAAATAGAATCTAAACCTGAAACGCCTTATTCACCAATTTAGTTATTACTTCAAATAAATTTTTATATTATAAATTTAAACAAAAAAATTAAATATTTAAATAAAATATATAAAAAATAGGCTAGGCTAACATGAAATTCGGATTTAAAAAAATTGAAAGCAAAAATGTAAAACAAAGCAAATGTAGTTTATCTATCTATCTATCTATCTATCCTTTTAGCAAATATAAATTTCACAAAAAATAGATTTTTTACCGAAGCGAAAGTTCTAAAATACAGAGATTTGTGCATTCTGATAAATCTGAAATCAAAGCTCTAATACCCTCATCATCAATTTCATTTTTGCTTTGAAAAGTAAAAAAATAAAATTATTATAAAATAAAAAAGTTTAAGATAAATTAAATAAGATTTAAAATATATGAAAAATTAAATAAATAAATTGATCAAAAATGTAATAATAAAAGCTTTTAAACAAAACCAATAAATATAGTTAGTTAATTTATCAGCCTTCTTTGATAAGAAAATTAATAAAATAATTCATTTTACTTCAGATGGATTGCTAAATTTTAGAGATTATTACAGATTGCCAAAGAAGTAGCTAAATCTGATATTCCTTATACCCCGATTTAATTTTCACTATTAAAATTTATTTTAATTATTTATTTGTTTTTTAACTAAAAAATCAATTTATAAGCAAAGAAATAAATAAATTATAAATTATAAATTTAACAAAACAAGCAAATATTTTAGCTGGAAGGGTTAATTTAAGAAGTTTTTTAAATATATTAAATTAAATCAAACAAATTTTTCACTCTAGAGAAAGATTTAATTTTGATATATTATTGCAGCTTTTCAACAAAGAACCCAAACACGATGTGCCTTATGACCCTAATTTGTTCTAGCTTTTTTAAAAATTAATAAAAATATATGAAAATATAAAGTAAAAGAGTACAAATAATAAAAATTAAAAAGTTAATAGTTAGCCAAAAATTTTTCATAACTTATTAATAAATAAAATTTTTTTTACTATAGATATAGATTCAGAGTTTTGATATGAGTAAATTTAGCCAAAGTAGAACCCATGTGTGATACTCCTTAAGCACAAATTTAGTTACAACTATTAAAAATAATAAATAAATTTTAAATTGAAAAAAATAAATTATAAACAAATAGAGTTGATAGTAAGTAATTTAATTTAAAAAATATAAAGCATTTTACCCAAGATCTAGTGTTAAACTTGATAGTTTAGAGCAATTTTCACCGATAGAAACTAAAGCAGAAACACTTTAATCATCGATTTAATTTTGACTAATATCATTTTAAAATAAATATTAATTTAATTTTTAATTTAAAAGAGAAGTGATAATATCAAAAAATAATAAATAAATATTTCATATAATTTAAAAGTTATAAAAGAGGATTCTGTAACTTTTTTATCATAAATTAAACAAATGATTGATTAAAATAAATTAAAATTGGCTAATTTTACTAAAGAATTAGTGTTAAATCTGTAAGATTACTGCAACTAGTTAAATTAGAGATTAAACCTTATAGACCTTATGAACCAATTTAATTATCACTTTATATTTAATGAGTTATTTATAATTAAAAAAATATTCATAATAAATAAAATTTAATTGCTGTAAATCCTTTTAAATTCTTACTTACTTAATTAAATATTCACCTAAAAAAAACTTTTTTGTATTGCTTGATAAAGAATCTTTTGAAAGATTAATTTTTAATGAAAAAATATGAAAAATTACCTTGAATTTAATTTTTTTAGATTTGAAATTTCACCCAAATAAATTATATTAGAATTTTAAATTGTCCATAATAGGGTGAAAATAAATGTAATAAAATTTAAAGTAATTAATTTAATTTTAAAATTGAAAGACATTAAAAAATAAAATGATTAAAATTTTTAAAAAGAAGAAAACTCTTTATTTATTTATTTATTTAAAATATTTTTGGTTATTTTTTTATTTATTTTTGTTCTTAGTTAGCAATTAAATTATTAAGTGTTGTAAATTAAAGCATTTTAATAATTTTAACTTGAGTTAGAGAGTTAAATTTTAGAGACTATTGCAATTCACAAATGCAGAGCCTAAATTTAATGTACCCTAGGAACCAATTTAATTATATCTTTTAATTTTTTAAAACAACGATAATTGTCAAATAATAAAATGAGAAATCTTAATTAAATGGCTATTAAAAGTATAAAATTTGTTATGACCATTTAATCTAAAATCATAATAGTAATATTTCTAAATAAATTCCTTAAAATGTTATAATCATTTAATATAAAAAATTATTTTGAATTAATTAATTTAATTTTATTTCTACCCAAGATTGATAATTAATATCGAAATTTTAGTTAAGTTTTTCAAAGCACAGCTTAGACTTTATGCACATATTTCACTAATATTATTTTAGCTTTTAATAAAATTTAAGTAAATTTTTATTTAAAATAAATTTATTTTAGAAAATTAAAAAATTAAACTGAAAAAAAGAAAAAAGTATAGAAAATATAAATGGAAAATAATTCTGTTAAATAAAACTGAATATTATCATCTTATTTTTACTAAAGTTCAAGTTATAAAACTGAGAGATTAGATAAATCAGCCAAAGCGGAAATTAAAGCTGTTACACCCTCGTTGCTTATTTAATTAGATCTTTTTAAATTTTTTAAATGAGTATTTTGGCTAACAAAAAAGGAATAATATAAAGCTAATTAAAAATAACTAATATAAAATTAAATGAAGAAATGGAAAATTAAAAATTTTTGTATTTAATTAATATGACAAATTTATAAGTAATTATTTTTTAACATATTTAAACAAACAAAAAACATGGTATTAAAATTTACCCAAGGTCTATTCTAAAAGTTGAGAGGTTAATACATTTTTTTAAAGCAGAACTTATTGATTAAACACCATGATCTCCTATTTAGCAGTAGCTATGTATATTTTTATTGAAGATATATCAAATAAATAATTAAAAATTAGAATTATGTATGTAAGTATTTTTAGTTTTTTATTATTTTATTTTAGTTTTTTAAATAAGAAAATAAGATTTAAAATAAGCTATAACCTAATTTGAAAGTAAATAATTTTTTAAATAAATATAATAATATCATAGTTCATATATATACCTGAGGTCAATGTGAAGATCATAATGAGAAGATAGAGATGAGCTCAAAAACTATTTTTAAAAGTAAAAATAAATTCGAAGCATAATTAAACAAATAAATATTTTACTTATTCTAAATCGTAGAAGGATTGCGTTTTTTAAATCATTTTTTTTTTTGAAAAATATTCAATTAAATTTTTGATAATTAATTAGTTAATTAGTTAGTTGTAAAATATGTAATAACTTTATTTTGAATTCTAAATCAAATATTTATCAATATTTTTTTTAAATGAAAAAATTATTCACTTTAATAACTTTTAATTGTTTTAAATTGTTCATAAAAGTAGCAATAACAAAAGTTAATTTAAAGTCTTTAATTTAAAACACTATAGCTTATTTAAATGGCAAATAATTATTTAATATTATTATTTTCTTTATTTAAATTCACTATTTTTATTTATTTTATATTTTTAATTCGAAACACTTTTTATAGAAAACAATATTGAAATTCATAAAACACAAATGACATTATGCATTTATTATTTCTGTTTAATTTTTAATAGGGGGAGCTAATAATTTTTTTAGAAAGTAATTAATTCATCATTAAACTTTTAATTACTAGAATTTTTTCTAATATGACTAACTGCCAATCTCTAATACCTGCTATATTTTTAAGTATAAGTTTTAAATAATAATATTAAGATTTAATAATGAATATGAAATTAATTTTTTTGTGATCTCTCTTCATAAAAGCAAATTTATAAATTAATATTAGATAATTATTATATTAATTAATTAATTAAATTCCATAAATTGCTACTCAATATTTTTGAAAAAAAAAATAAATGGTATAATAGATTAAAGAATACAACAAATTAGAAGAAGTAATTATTAATTTTTTTATTAATATCCTTTAAATTTATATAAATTAATAAAAAAAGTTTTTAAACTCTTCACTTTAATCTCATTAGGTTCTCCATATTAGTCTAAAGTATATTAAAATAAAAAATATTTTTAATTTTTTTATTTCAACTTTCAATTTATTTAAAAAAATAATTTTTTATAATAGAAATTTTCACCACTATTCATTAATTTCTATTTATACAAAAATTTTTAGCAATTTCAACTTAATTTTGATTTCAATTTTGAATTATTTATTATTCATTTTTTATTATTTGATATTTTTTCTTCATTTTTTGCTATTAACACTTACACTTAATAAAAACAATTTTTTTATTTTGGATTTTAATATTTTTAATTATAAAATTTAATTTAAAACATTAAAGCTCTTTTAATTTATTTTATTTCTTTTTCTTTTAATTGTGCTTGCTTAATTTTTTTTCTTTCTTTGTTAGTTTAACTAATTATTAATTAAATTAATCTTATTTTTTCATATTTTTTCCTTCTAATTAACTAATAAATTATATATTTTTTATTCAATAAAAAGTTCCAATAAAATTGGTTCAACAGGTGCATCAGGCTTATGTTCTGCTTTAGCAAAGTGCATTAATCTCTCAAATTTGACACTTAATCTTAGTAGGTAAAAACAGTTTATTTATTTTGGACTGTGATATTTTTAATTATAAAACGAATTTAAAACAATAAAGCTCATTTTTATTTTTCTTTTTATTATGCTTGCTTTTATTTCTTCTTTCTTTGTTAATTTAACTCATCATTTTATTTATTTTAACTTTTGCTTTTATTTTTAATTAATCTTACTATTTCATATTTTTTCTTCATTTTTTCCTTCTAAATAACTAATAAATTATATATTTTTTATTTAAAAAAAAGCTCCAATAAAATTGGTGCAACAGGTGCTTCAAGCTTAGGTTCTGCTTTAGCAAAGTGCATTAATCTCTCAAATTTGACACTTAATCTTAGGTAAAAACAGTTTATTTATTTTGGATTGTGATATTTTTAATTATAAAACGAATTTAAAACAATAAAGCTCATTTTTCTTTTTATTATGCTTGCTTTTATTTCTTCTTTCTTTGTTAATTTAACTCATCATTTTATTCATATTTTTTCTTCATTTTTTCCTTCTAAATAACTATTTAATTATTTATTTTTTCTACAATATTTAAAAAGTTTCAATTAAATTGGTGATAAAGGTGTATCAGGCTTAGGCTCTGCTTTAGCAAAATGCATTAATCTCTCAAATTTGACACTTGGTCTTTAGTAAAAACAGTTTATTTATTTTTGATTGTGATATTTTTAATTATAAAATGAATTTAAAGCAATAAAGCTCATTTTTTTCTTTCTTTTTATTGTGCTTGCTTATATTTCTTCTTTCTTTGATAATTTAACTCATCATTTTATTTATTTTTAACTTTTGCTTTTATTTTTCATTAATCTTATTATTTCATATTTTTTCTTTCTAAATAACTAATTAATTATTTATTTTTTCTTCAATATTTAAAAAGTTTCAATTAAATTGGTGATAAAGGTGCATCAGGCTTAGGTTCCGCTTTAGCAAAGTGCATTAATCTCTCAAATTTGACACTTGGTCTTTAGTAAAAACAGTTTATTTATTTTGGATTGTGATATTTTTAATTATAAAACGAATTTAAAGTAATAAAGCTCATTTTTCTTTTTATAGTGCTTGCTTGCTTTTATTTCTTCTTTCTTTGATAATTTAACTCATCTTTTTATTTTTTTTTAACTTTTGCTTTTATTTTTCATTAATCTTATTATTTCATATTTTTTCTTCATTTTTTCCTTCTAAATAACTAACTAATTAATTATTTATTTTTTCTTCAATATTTTAAAAGTAAAAATTAAATTGGTGATAAAAGTGCATCAGACTTAGGTTCTGCTTTAGCAAAGTGCATTAATCTCTCAAATTTGACTCTTGATCTTCGGTAAAAAAGTTTATTTATTTTGTATTGTGATATTTTTAATTATAAAACGAATTTAAAACAATAAAGCTCATATTTCTTTTTCTTTTTTTTGTGCTTACTTGCTTTAATTTCTTCTTTCTTTGTAAATTTAACTCATCATTTTATTTATTTTTTCTTCAATATTTAAAAAGTGAAAATTAAATTAGTGCAACAGGTGCACCAGGCTTAGGTTCTGCTTTAGCAAAGTGCATTAATCTCTCAAATTTGACACTTGATCTTAGGTAAAAACTTTTATTATTTTAATTGTGATATTTTTAATTATAAAACGAATTTAAAGCAATAAAGCTCATTTTTTCTTTCTTTTTATTATGCTTGCTTTTATTTCTTCTTTCTTTGATAATTTAACTCATCATTTTATTTATTTTTAACTTTAGCTTTATTTTTCATTAATTATATTATTTCATATTTTTTCCTTCTAAATAACGAATTAATTATTTATTTTTTCTTCAATATTTAAAAAGTTTCAATTAAATTGGTGATAAAGGTGTATCAGGCTTAGGTTCTGCTTTAGTAAAGTGCATTAATCTCTCTAATTTGACACTTAGTCTTTCGTAAAAACAGTTTATTTATTTTGGATTATGATATTTTTAATTATAAAATGAATTTAAAACAATAAAGCTGATTTTTTTTTTTTCTTTTTATTATGCTTGCTTTTATTTCTACTTTTTTTGATAATTTAACTCATCATTTTATTTATTTTTAACTTTTACTTTTATTTTTCATTAATCTTACTATTTCATATTTTTTCCATCTAAATAACTAATTAATTATTTATTTTTTCTTCAATATTTAAAAAGTTCCATTTAAATTGGTGATGAAGGTGTATCAGGCTTAGGTTCTGCTTTAGCAAAATGCATTAATCTCTCTAATTTGACACTTGATCTTAGGTAAAAACTTTATTTATTTTAATTGCGATATTTTTAATAATAAAAAGAATTTATAATAATAAAACTCATTTTTTTCTTTCTTTTTATTGTGCTTGCTTGCTTTTATTTCTTCTTTCTTTGATAATTTAACTCACCATTTTATTTATTTTTAACATTTGCTTTTATTTTTCATTAATCTTATTATTTCATATTTTTTCTTCATTTTTTCCTTCTAAATCAATATTTAAAAAGTTCCAATTAAATTGGTGATAAAGGTGTATCTGGCTTAGGCTCTGCTTTAGCAAAGTGCATTAATCTCTCAAATTTGACACTTAGTCTTTAGTATAAACAGTTTATTTATTTTGGATTGTGATATTTTTAATTATAAAACGAATTTAAAGCAATAAAGCTCATTTTTTTCTTTCTTTTTATTGTGCTTGCTTTTATTTCTTCTTTCTTTGATAATTTAACTCATCTTTTTATTTATTTTTAACTTTTGCTTTTATTTTTCATTAATCTTATTATTTCATATTTTTTCCTTCTAAATAACTAATTAATTATTTATTTTTTCTTCAATATTTAAAAAGTAAAAATTAAATTGATGATAAAAGTACATAAGACTTAGGTTCTGCTTTAGCAAAGTGCATTAATCTCTCAAATTTATCACTTGATCTTAGGTAAAAAAGTTTATTTATTTTGTATTGTGATATTTTTAATTATAAAACGAATTTAAAACAATAAAGCTCAATTTTCTTTTTCTTATTATTGTGCTTGCTAGCTTTAATTTCTTTTTTCTTTGTTAATTTAACTCATTATTTTATTTATTTAACCTTTGCTTTTATTTTTCATTAATCTTATTATTTCATATTTTTTCCTTCTAAATAACTAATTAATTATTTATTTTTTCTTCAATATTTAAAAAGTAAAAATTAAATTGGTGATAAAAGTGCATCAGACTTAGGTTCTGCTTTAGCAAAGTGCATTAATCTCTCAAATTTGATACTTAATCTTAGGTAAAAACAGTTTATTTATTTTGGATTATGATATTTTTAATTATAAAACGAATTTAAAATTTTCTTTTTCTTTTTATTATGCTTGCTTGATTTTATTTCTTCTTTCTTTATTAATTTAACTCATCAATTTATTTATTTTTAACTTTTGCTTTTATTTTTCATTAATCTTATTATTTAATATTTTTTCTTTCTAAATAACTAATTAATTATTATTTTTTTCTTCAATATTTAAAAAGTGGGAATAAAATTGGTGATGAAGGTGCATCAGGCTTAGGTTCTGCTTTAGCAAAGTGCATCAATCTCTCAAATTTGACACTTAATCTAAGGTAAAAATAGTTTATTTATTTTGGATTGTGATAGTTTTAATTATAAAAAGAATTTAAAATAAAAAGCTCTATTTTCTTTTTCTTATTATTGTGCTTGCTTGCTTTTATTTCTTCTTTCTTTGATAATTTAACTCATTATTTTATTTATTTTTAACTTTCCCTTTATTTTTCATTAATCTTATTATTTAATATTATTTCCTTCTAAATAACTAATTAATTATTTATTTTTTCTTCAATATTTAAAAAGTTACAATTAAATTGATGATAAAAGTGTATCAGACTTAGGTTCTGCTTTAGCAAAGTGCATTAATCTCTCAAATTTGACACTTGATCTTCGGTAAAAAAGTTTATTTATTTTGGATTGTTGTATTTTTAATTATAAAACTAATATAAAACAATAAAGCTCTATTTTCTTTTTCTTTTTATTATGCTTGCTTGCTTTTATTTCTTCTTTCTTTGTTAATTTAACTCATCATTTTATTTATTTTAACTTTTGCTTTTATTTTTCATTAATCTTACTATTTCATATTTTTTCTTCATTTTTTCCTTCTAAATAACTAATTAATTTTTTATTTTTTCTTCAATATTTAAAAAGTAAAAATTAAATTGGTGCAACAGGTGCATAAGACTTAGGTTCTGCTTTAGCAAAGTGCATTAATCTCTCAAATTTGATACTTAATCTTAGGTAAAAACAGTTTATTTATTTTGGATTGTGATATTTTTAATTATAAAACGAATTTAAAGTAATAAAGTTCATTTTTCTTTTTCTTTTTATAGTGCTTGCTTGCTTTTATTTCTTCTTTCTTTGTTAATTTAACTCATCAATTTATTTTTTTTTAACTTTTACTTTTATTTTTCATTATTTCTAATTTTTTCTTCATTTTTTCCTTCTAAATAACTAACTAATTAATTATTTATTTTTTCTTCAATATTTAAAAAGTAAAAATTAAATTGGTGATAAAAGTGTATCAGACTTAGGTTCTGCTTTAGCAAAGTGCATTAATCTCTCAAATTTGACACTTGATATTCGGTAAAAAAGTTTATTTATTTTGTATTGTGATATTTTTAATTATAAAACGAATTTAAAACAATAAAGCTAATATTTCTTTTTCTTTTTATTGTGCTTGCTTGCTTTTATTTCTTCTTTTTTTGTTAATTTAACTCATCATTTTATTTATCTTTAACTTTTGCTTTTATTTTTCATTAATCTTATTATTTCATATTTTTTCTTCATTTTTTCCATCTAAATAACAAATTAAATTTTATTTTTTCTTCAATATTTAAAAAGTGGGAATAAAATTGGTGATGAAGGTGCATCAGGCTTAGGTTCTGCTTTAGCAAAGTGTATCAATCTCTCAAATTTGACACTTGGTCTTTAGTAAAAACAGTTTTTTTATTTTGGATTGTGATATTTTTAATTATAAAACTGATTTAAAATAACAAAACTCTTTGAATTTATTTGATAGCTTTTTAATAATTTATTTTTTTATCTTTTTAATTCGGCTAATGTTATTTTATTTATTAATTTAAATTTTTAATTTGAAAGTTTATTTTATTTAATGTTAATTTAAAATTTACACAAATTTATAAAAAAAGTTATAATAAATTGAATGAATAATAAGAATTCAAAGTAAAAAGTAAGTATATTAAATCAAAAAGATTAGTCGTCTTTAAAATATAACTCTGATGATAAATGAGTGGTGAAAAAAGATGAATAAATATTAAATGTTTGAATAATTGAATATTATATGTTTTATAATATAATAATTTGAAAATGTTTTTTCTCCTTAATTATTAATAGATTTAATTATTGTTTTTTATATTTTTATAATTTATATTTTTTTTAGTTAATAAATAGCTTATATAATAAAAAAATTAAAAATTTAAAAATTTAATATACTTAAATGAGTTAATTCCTCTCAACAAAAAAAATAGGAAAAAATTTAGAGAAATGTTTGGTTTTAATTATTAACGAATTACAATAAATTGATTTTTATAGTACATCAATTATAAAACATATACTTGTAGTATTTATTAAGTATTTAAGTATCAAGTTCCAATTTTGTTTTTTATTTTATATGAAATAAAATATGTTAATTTATATAAAAAATCACAAGCAGATTTATTTGAAAACTAATCTCTTAAATTTCAGGATCTGAAAGATCAGTTTCGTTTTACCAATTTCACTTAACAAATTGTAACTTTTTATTTATAAATTTAATAAAATTATGCTCAAATTAAGCCTTTAAAGATAAGTAAATAAGACTAAATTTATAAATATAAATTTTACAATAAATATAAAGTATATATTTTACTGAAGCAAAAGCTCTAAAATAGTGAGATTAGTGCAGTCTGATAAAGCAGAAATCAAATCGCTAGCTCCTTCATCATCAATCCCATTATTGCTTTTAAAAATTTAAAAATAGAATTATTTATATATAAAAAATTAAGACAAATTAAATAAAATCTAAAGTATATGAAAAATTGAAAGAAATCTGAACTAAAAAAAAAGTAAATTGATAAAAGTGTAACAATAAAAGCTTTAAAACTAAACCAAGAGATAGTTAGTTTTCAGTCTTCTAATAAGAAAATTAACAAAATAATTCATTTTACTAGAGATCGATTGTTAGATTTTAGAGATTATTGCAGATTGCCAAAGATGTAGCTAAATCTAATATTCCTTATACCCCAATTTAATTATCACTTTTAATATTTATTTAATTAAATATACTAAATTAAGTCAAATAAATTTTCACCCTAGAGAAAGATTCAATTTTGATATGTTATAGCAGCTTTTCAAAGAAGAGCCCAAGCATGATGCACCTTATGACCCTAATTTGTTTTAGCTTTTTAAATTTTAATACAAAAATGTGAAAATATAAAATAAAAGAGTACATATAAAAAAATTACAAAGTAAAGAGTAAGCCAAAAACTTTTCAAAATTGATAAATAAATATATAATTTTTTTACGATAGATAGAGATCCAGAGTTTTGATATGAGTATAACTAGCCAAAGCAGAACCTATATGTGATACTCCTATAGAACCTATTTGGTTGCATCTATTAAAAATAATAAATAAAAGTTAAATTAAAAAAAATAAATTATTAACAAATAGAGTAAATAGTATGGTAATTTTAAATATATAAAAGCATTTAACTCAAGATTTAGTTTTAAACTTTATAATTTAGAGCAATTTTCACCAATAGAAACTAAACAAGAAACGCTTGAATCATCGATTTAATTTTCACTATTTTCATTTTAAAATAAATATTAATTTAATTGTAAATTTTTAATAAAAAAAAGAGAAGAGATAAATCAAAAAGCAAAAAGCGATAAAGGAATAAATATTGGATATAATAGAAAAGTTATAAAAGAGGTTTCTGTAAATTTCCTATCATAAATTAAACAAATAGGTAAACAAAATAAATTAAAATTGACTAATTTTACAAAAGAATTAGTGTCAAATTTGAAAGATTACTGCAACTTGTTAAATTAGAGATTAAACCTTATAGACCTTATGATCCAATTTAATTATCGCTTTATATTTAATAAGTTGTTTATAAATTAAAAAAATATTAAAATTAAATAAAATCTAATTGCTGTAAATCCTTATATATTCTCTGTCCTTAAATATTCACCCAAAAAAAACACTTTTTTGGCTTAAATCAATTAATTAATTATTTTTAAATTCATATGGTGAAAATTTAATAGGATTTAAAGTAATTAGCTTAAAGATTTATAGACATTAAAAAATAAATAGATTAAAATTTTTATATGATCAAAACTATTTTAATAAAATATATGTATTTGGTTATTTATTTATATATTTTTGTTCTTAGTTAGCAATTAAATTATTAAATATTGTAAATTAATTAAAGCATTTTAATAATTTTAACTTGAGTTTGAGAGTTAAACTTTAGAGACTATTGCAGTTCAAAAAAGCAGAGCCTAAGTTTAATGTACCCTATGAACCAATTTAATTCAATCTTTTAATTTTAAATTAAAGCTAATTGTCAAAAATAAAAAAATAAATATTAATTAAATAATATAAAATTTGTTATGACCATTATAAAATATCTAAATAAATTCTTTAAAATGTTAAGTTTTTAATCATTTATTTTAAAAATATATTTTTAAATTAATTAAATAAATAAATTTTATTTCTACCCAAGATTGATAATTAATATTGAAATTTTAGCTAATTTTTTCAAACCACAGCTTAGACTTTATGCACCTAGTTCACTAATATTATTTTAGCTTTTAATAAAATAAAAATAAATTTGATTTCATCTTAAATGAGAAATAAATTATTTTAGTAAATTTAAATTTAAAGCTGAAAAAAAACATACAAGGCAAGGATAGATGGATAGGATAATGGAAGGAAAATAATTTTAATAAATAAAATTGAATATTTTTATTATATTTTTACTAAAGATCAAGTTACAAAACTGAGAGATTAGGGCAGTCAGTCAGAGCAGAAATTAAAGATGATACACCCTCATTACTTATTTAATTATACCTATTAGTATTTAGGCGAACAAAAAGGAATTATATATAAAGGGAATTAAAAACAATTTATGTAAAATTTAATGGAGAAATAGATAATTTAAAATTTTTTGGATGTAATTAATTAGACAAATATACATACAGTAATATTTTTTAAAATATTTAATAAAAAAATGTTATGTTAATATTTACCCAAGATCTATTCTAAAAGTTGAGAGTTCAATACATTATTTTAAAGCAGAACTTATTTATTAAACACCATGATCTCCTATTTAGCAGTAGCTATTTATATTTTTGATTAAAGATATCTCAATTTAATAATTTAAAAATAAATTAAAAATAAGAATTATGTTTTTATGTATGTATTTTCTGTTTTTTATGATAATATTTTATTTTTACTTTTTTAAATAAGAAAATAAGATTTAAAACAAACAATAAACTTATTTGATAGTAAATAAATTTTTAAATAAAATTGATAATATCATAGTTCATATAAATAAATACCTCAGGTCAATAAGTAGATCAGAATGAGAAGATAAAGAAGAGTTTAAAAACTATTTTTCAAAGTAAAAATAAATTCAAATCATAATTAAATAAATATATCTTTTACTTTTCCTAAGTCGTAATAGGATTCAGTTTGTTATATCATTTTTTTTTGTTGTAAAATATTCAATTATAATTTTTTATAATTAGTTAGTTAGTTGTAAAATATACAATGTCTTTATTTTGAATTGTATATCAAATATTTATCAGTATTTTTAAAAAATGAAAAAATTAGATACTTTAATTACTTTTAATTGTTTTAAATAGTCATATAAAAGAAATTAATTTAATGTCTTTTATAAATTTAAAATATCATAGCTTATTTAAATGAAATTTCATTATTTAGTATTATTATTCCATTTATTTAAATTTACTATTTTTGTTTATTTTTCTATTAATAATTCTAAACAATATAAAAAAAAACTGTATTGAAGTTCATGCATAAAACACAAATAAGATTAAATATTTATTATTTCAATTAAATTTTTATAGGAGGAGCTAATAATTTCTTTAATAATTAATTCATCATTAAATTTTTTAAAAAGGTTTTAAATCATGGTATCTAATTTAGGGGTTACAATTTTTAACCCCTTAAATTCCTTAATATGATTGATGGATACTATTTAAGATTAAAATCTAACTGGAATATAAAAGCTTGGCATTTATATTATTTAATAACATATAATTTTACACTACAAATTTCAAATGATTTGATCGTTTTTTTTATTATTTATAAGGTATTTATTAACATACAAGAATATAATATTAATAAATATAAAAACAATAATAAAATCTATCTATGTATCTATATTTTAGGTTAAAAAAACTTTTTCAAAGTATTATTTGATAAAACATATAATATTCAATTATTCAAACATTTAATATTTATTTATCCGTTTTTAGCCACTTGTTTATC